CTCCCAAATACATTCTCCGATAACTCCATAAGGTATTGTTTCAATTATCATTTAATATCATTGCCCTTGATCTATCCACTGCTAGATGAATTCCTTCCCTACCTTCCCACTATTTTGCAATGGCCCAAATTTATCTCATGGCAACACATGCACTGATCTTGTCATGCCATCTCTCTGGTGATCGCCCTCTCAGGCGTGTTTCTCCTTTGGCTGACATTGTCACCAGTCATGTCCATCGGTCATCATCCCTACGAGAAAGAGTATCCTGACCAAATCAACTTTCTTTAACAGTCAATACTTTGTCTCTCATATGCAGGTAGTTCTCTTTTTGTCGCACAGTTCAATTCCAAGTACGAATCTCTCCGTGATTATTTACAAAGCGGTTTAGCTTGTGCCTCATTTTCATTGTCAATGTTCATGTTTACGATACCGTAAACGGAAATATGCAATGAATGAAACCTTCGTTCTTCGGGCACATTTGTATTTCTTGATGATCTAATTAACTTTTCAAAAAGCACTCCAGCCTGCTACATTCGATCATCTTGATCCCGATCCGCCTTCAATAATCGCCCTTGGCATACAAACATTGCCGATTGACAGTTTTGTCACCTCCCTTCAACTTAAGAGTACATAAACTAAGCGGTTGTCCACTCATCTCCTATGCACAACTCTGAACTAGTGGTGGTAATTACACATTCCCATGGCGCGGCAGGCCTGTCAATGGGACAACCACTGTTGACATTCATCATCAGTGGATGGGGTAGCGATGTGCGACAACATCAACTGATGATTATATAACATTATGCATTATGTCAAATGTATAGTTGCTCCATCTTAACATCAGCCGTGCAAAGATCACACATGTCAACCCCTTATTACAGACAAATTCAGACCTTATTGGTCACCCCGTGCCCTTATAAATCTCAACGTTCATCCTACAAAGTCCCATCACAAGGGAGAAACACAAATAAATAGGCAAAAACAGTTTTTTGCCCGTATCGCAAAGGCTGTTCGCCGCATGGACCTGAAAACTCAATTATCCTGTACAAGAATACGGGGGAAACCGTATGGGTTGACAGCTCATGCAAGATCACCCTACTGCAGGATCATCAGCCTCCGTTTCAAGTTTCATTTATTTGGTACAGCCCTGTGATCCATGCGGCCCTTAAGTCGGGTGCAACCACAACAAACAAAATATGAACACAGAACATCTTAAAGCGACGATGCGTAACAGAAACATGCTGTAATAAACCAGCGAATAACCCCCCAAAAAACCGTCGCGAATTATAACGAATTAAAGACAAACACTTTTTTAATAATCACCAGCACAGACTAACACAATGAGCATAGATGCATTACAAGATTAGTTTTAATACTAAGAATAATAATGCACTCGATTGTATTTTATCGAACACTGAAAACCCCCAAACATCTCGCTAGCACCAGTCAGGTCTCGGCGCGGTAGGCCTTTGGCCACAAAATGACGAGCGAGCGAGTAAAGCAGCAACAACAACAACTCCGCACCTTTTTACTTAAGTAGACAAACATCGCGGCGCACAGGAAGTCAGCAATTACGCCAACAACTCTTGTATATTTGTAAATACTTCAACAAGTTTCAACAATCGCTGCGCTGGTTGGGGCGCCCGCCAAGCTCGTCGCGGCGTTTCCGTTGCCACGGTAACGTGCCACCCGACTTTACATTTCCCAGCGACGATAAGCGCGGGCGCCGCCCGGCGAAGCTCGCGATTGGACAAAAGCGCGGCTCGTGACGCAGCCGCCGCCGCCGCTCGACCAATCACAATAGAGCATTGACGAAGCTCGACGAGTTTGCTTATGCATGGTGGGAAATATAAAAGTGCTGTAATTGTATTTAAAGTGTGGTGATCACCCAAACAAAAACATGTTATCTTATTAATATGTGCATTGTCTTTGAAACTACACCAGAAACAGCAGCCTTCTTTATTGGCTAGTCTCACCACCAGTGTCAGACAAGAAAACGCCAAGAAAGGGTTAAAAAATATTCGTTTTTTATATTTTTGTGCATATTTTCATTACTTAATTAATTTTATCGCGATGCTGCTTTAGCACTGGTGCACAAACCCACAAATAACGCCACAAATTCCTGAACAACACTGTGACCCTGGAAGTAGTAATATATATATATATAATGTGTACACGACGTTTCATAACACACAAACGCAGGGTCGTGAGAGAAGCCTTCATCCAGCAGTGGAATGATCATGGCTGATGGTTAATTGAGAGATATTGATTGTACATTGAAATAACTCCCATTGCAACATATTACTCACCAGCACATACAATACTCACCTGTGAAATACACGACGTGCCGAACAAACAATGGCTCTTTTTATTATTACACGCTTTTATTTAACTCACTCAGTCTTATTCTTGGTTCTTTCGGAAAAGTCACGTAGAAGGGAAATAATAAAATAATATTAACATAATTTTTTTATTTTTTATATTAATATTATTTTATTATTTCCCTTCTACGTGACTTTACCGAAAGAACCAAGAATATGAATCCCTGCAGTCACGAAAGCTTTAAATCAAGATTCACTCAGTCTTCTTATCGTTATCGTCGTTGTTGTTGTATCCTCAAATCTTGTAACTCAAGTTTTAACCCACTTCCCAGTGTGGTATTGACTGCAAACTTGGTATATTTATGTCATACTGATGACAATACTATATTCTATCATTAAAAAGAAAATATATATTTTTAAACAATCTTTTTTATATCACGGCCCCTCCTGGAGTCGTGGAGTTCTTCCATTACTCGTACGGTACATTTCGTTAAAGCGTGTTTTAAAAAAATATTTATTTTTTAATATTACTTATATCACAGCAAATGCAGAAAAACTACTGGCCGAGACGTCACATATACTATCGTTTTCGTTTAAGGCCACAGATTTATTGACGACTGTGTTGAGTTTTGTTTTATTGTTCTACGCACCACTGCTAAAGCAGCAGCAGCAGCATCCCCATCAAATAATTTGTGAAATGTACAGAGGAACGCCTCTTGTGGATGCTTGGAGAACCAAACTATCAAGGGGCCGTCCATAAATGACGTCACGCAATTTTTGACCCCCCCCTCTCGTCACACGGCGTCACAAAAAGTCAGACCTCCCCCCCTCAAATATGACGTCACAAAGCTCTGCCCCCCCCCCCAAAACCATATTTTCAGTTTTAAAATAAAACATGCTTCAAATAGCTCTAAACTATTGTATTGTCATTGTAGTGCATATTTAATGTGCCGCTGCACTCTGATGTTGTAGGAGAAAACATTTATTAAAAAGTATATTTAATTAAGTAGAACGTGTTGTCTATATTTATTTAAAGTTGGGCATTTTGCTGTGACGTCTCAATTCTCAAACACCCCCCCCCCTCGTCACACATCGTCACAAATGTCTGACAACCCCCCCCCCTCTAGGTGCGTGACGTCATCTATGGACAGCCCCTTGATTTCAAACATCTTCCCGAGAGGCCGGGACCTCTTGCACCGCATCAGGCCATCTCTTCTCTCTCCCATGCCACATCCGATGAGCCGCCTCTATCCAAACAAACTAAGACTTCTTCTTGGTTCTTTCGGTAAAGTCACGTAGAAGGGAAATAATAAAATAATAAAAATAAAACATAATACAATCATTCTCACGACGTTTCGGCCACAACGCAAGCAGCCTCGACAGACCTGGTTTCACCTGAGGATGGCTGCTTGCGTTGTGGCCGAAACGTCGTGAGAATTATTTTATTATGTTTTATTTTTATTATTTTATTATTTCCCTTCTACGTGACTTTACCGAAAGAACCAAGAAGATGAATCCCTGCAGTCACGAAAGCTTTACATCGAAATCAAACTTAGACTGTTTGTATATGCGGCGGAATTGAGCATTAAGGCTAAATGCTGTCTGGGAACTCTTCGTGCAATCCACATTGGACTGTGGAGAGAGCTGACACATCCACAAAAGATCTGGACAATGCTTCTGTTGTCTTCACAGCAATACCGATGATTATTATGATGGAGCTCCTCCGGGAGGCGATGGGATACGTTTATCGGGTCATGGGGGGTCAACCAAAAACAAAGATTCCACGTATAGCCTGAACAAACTTGTTTAGGCAAATGCTGTTAGCGATCACCGATGAAGGCCGGCAATGACACACGAGGGGGGTAGGGGGGCCAGCACCACGCCCGACCGCCTTTGTCTCCCCAGTGGCGATGTTTACACACAGCACCGGGTACAAATTTGAGGCTAAGTTGACTTTAGGGAAGCCCAGGACCGGTTCAAATATTCGTCACTGATGTTAGTGGCCGTGAGCGGGATTGGAACTCGGTCCGCCGAGTTCGTCGCGAAGCGATGCGCGTTCATCGCTCCACCGCCGCTCCAGACACACAGACACACACAGGAGACATTGTAATCCAATGAGCAGTGTGGACATCTGGCCACGGATTACAGCATTTTGGCTAACAATTATTTTTTTATTTTATAAAGTGCGCGGCTCACAAGGCTTTGGTCAGAGAGCCATGGCACCTGCTGCGAGAGATGATGCTATGAAAGCATATAATTATGGAAGGTATATTTATCCATAATACAGGTTAGGTCGCGTACATATAAATATTTCGTTAAACCGGCCACCACCCGACAAAGCCGATTAGTAAGGTTTGTCACGTTAACAGAACGTGCCATTTCGTTATCGTCACTAGTAGAGCACACCGGTGTGTTGGAGAGCAAAGCCACACCATTTATAATCGCTTACCTGCGTCTGGTAAAGCTTTACAATGTCTGAACAGGCATTTGTATTCGGGATATGTAGTAATGCTGTTGAGAATTACAAATAAAACATGCACGTTATCTACGAGTTCCTAAATTGCTTGATTCAACGTTTGTATAAGTTCTGCGACGTAGAGTCAGGAAATCTGGAAAAATCTCTGTCGACTACACAATCCTCCAGGTAAGAATAATGTAACATTGTTTAATAACAACAATAATTGCTTGATTCAACGTTTGTATAAGTTCTGCGACGTAGAGTCAGGAAATCTGGAAAAATCCCTGTCGACTACACAATCCTCCAGGTAAGAATAATGTAACATTGTTTAATAACAACAATAATTGATGATGCTCCTGCTGTTGAAGTTACGGATGATGCTTACGGTGGATGTGACTGTCGCTAATATTGCAGCAACTGTCGATGCATTTCTTTAGAAATGCTTTTTGTGTTTAGTTTGTTGTCTTTCCCCGCACCTCCGATTAGTACGGTTGGGTACGTACGGGCGCGAAAGAAGTTCACCATACATGATAATGGTAATGATAACAATACTACTGCTGTTAATGATTGATAATGCTGGCGCTACTACAAGTGATAATTGTTTTTTTACCCTTCTATCTGGCAACAAAACTGACACCTTTTTTTACAAGGAGTCATGTTTGCATAGACCACAATACCTGCAGTCATAATGTAAACAAAAAACATAACTCTGATAATGTATGCACTATCCTTGAAGTTGATTGGTCCACACCCGAGACAGCTTTCTTTAGAGCCTAGTCGCTCATGGTGTTGGACCAGATGACTCCTTGTAAAAAAGGTGTCAGTTTTGTTGCCAGATAGAAGGGTAAAAAACAATTATCATATTTTTTACTGGCAAATGAGGTTCCAATGGTGTAAATCTACTACAAGTGCGTCAGCTTCTGCAGCGGTTGTCGATGATGATGCTGTTACTGCTATGACTGCTCCAGTTTGTTTTAAATGCTGATGGTGATGTTGCTGGTGCTACCACTGTTGCTTCTACTGCTGCCAGTACCGGATTAAGCTAGTGTGGGGCCTGTAGCATATGTTATAAAGGGGCCCTAAAATGTAATAAAAACAAATATTAAAACACGTAATTGTTTTACTTGCATAGTAAAGTAATTGAATTTTTTCATTTGCTATACAGCCAGATAATACGACAAATCGATAACCTTAAACACCCAGTCGTTCATAAAAGTTGAAGGCAGTATAGTACTATAGTAATAGAGCAAGTGCAGAATCACTTGAACCAGAATTGGTAGCTTAAAAACATTTAGCGCGGGGCCCTTGAAAGTGCGGGGACCGTAGCTACATGTGTAGCTACTCATGCTACTAGGATAACCCGGCACTGACTGCTGCTGATGATAATAAAAATTGCGCTTCCGTGGCAAGCGCTAAGAGAAGTTATATAATTTTGAGAAGTTCAGTATGTAATGCTATATAAAATATAGTATTGGCATTTACTACACGACAATAAATTACCTGGCAACACGATTTAAGAAAGATAAGGTGATCTGATATTATTTTTTTAGTTAATAATCACACAATTGCAACATTAAATCTACACAGTGGATATCCTATGGATATACTGGGGCCTGTCAGGGCAATGTGGAATTTCCTCCACTGGCCCATGGCCATCAATTGAGATGAGCACGACTGCATGTTCGGTATGAACAAGTGAGACGTTTTGTCCTGATATGATTATATACACAGCATTAATGTTATTTCTTGATGATACTGATGATGATAATGCTGTTAATGATGCTTAAGCGCTGCATGGTTACGTAAAACAAATATTCACAGATAAATTCTGCTAGATCTCTTGGCAAAAAAAGTTTATATCTTATTATTGTTTACTCATTTTAGTGGCAAAGGTCACTCTTTCAAACGAGAACAATCCTCGCCTCCTGAGTTCCCAACCGGCTAAACAATTAAACTTGAATGTGCATGGGGCGATTCGTGGGGAATTTAACAATGGTGCTTATACTGGCCTTCGTCATATAGGAACGTGGGATATCTGCCACTTGCTCAGAACGAGCGCCGCCTCGATACTCATTTGAGCAGGAAATCACCTTTGTATGTACGTTGAACTTCTTTCGCACCGTATGTAGCCAACCGTGTTCATCAGAGGTGCAACCTTTGGCCTTGACTTTCAATCTAGAATTTTGGCGAACAGCGCCGCTTGACCGGGAGCTGCGGGAGATGTTAACGACCTCATCTGGTATACAGGAGGTCGTGGGTTCGATCTAGACCCTGACGCCTGTTGTATATTTGGAGTTTGCGTCTCTCTCTCATCATCACGGTGGCTAGGAGATGTTAACTACCTCGCCTGGTGTACAGGAGGTCGTGGGTTCGATCTTGACCCTGACGCCTGCTGCTGTATATTTGGAGTTTGCGTGTCTCTCTCTCCCCGTGGTGAGATGTTAACGACCTCATCTGGTATACAGGAGGTCGTGGGTTCGATCCCGACCCTGACTGCCTGTTGTATATTTGGAGCTTGCGTGTCTCTCTCTCCCCGTGGTGAGATGTTAACTACCTCATCTGGTATACAGGAGGTCGTGGGTTCGATCCCGACCCTGACGCCTGTTGTATAATTGGAGTTTGCGTGTCTCTCTCTCCCCGTGGTGAGATGTTAACGACCTCATCTGGTATACAGGAGGTCGTGGGTTCGATCCCGACCCTGACGCCTGTTGTATATTTGGAGTTTGCGTGATCTCCCCGTGCGGTCGGGTGGATTTTTCTTCGGGTTCTCCGGTTTTCCCCTCCACATTTAGAATCACCATGCGATTAGCGCATTTGGCCGCTGTACATTTCCACGCGACGATGAGAAACTTCGTTGAGCTATCATTTGTGGCAGGCGCCAGGTCGCTTCTTTTTTCTTTTGTAGTTTAGATGGAGTTGGGACGAACGAAGATGCCGCGGTGTGGAGCCAACGCGCTCCGCCAGGCCCTGCACCCCGTGCACGGTCTCGCCTGGACGGACGGGCGCCGCGTGATGCTCGCCTGCCTGACACTCCGCAGCGCCGACCCCGACAAGGGCGGGCGAACAGACACGGCAGGTGATTGTGACGACGACGATGATGATGACTCGGTTGCATTTGGTGGACGATGGTTGTTCATGATGAGAGCAGTACAGACGGTGATGATGAAAGTAGTATTGTATTGATGGACGATAAATTGCAATTCATGTTTTGGAAATCACATTTGTGGACGATGATGGTGAAGATAACGTTGGTGGATGATTTTTATAATGATGATAATGATGATAGCAGTATTGATGATAATGATGATTGTGACAAAGTTGAAGATGAAAGTAACTTCAGAATCAGAATATTTATTTTTACTGGAGGAATCCGATGAGCTATAAAGCTCTTTTTTCACATATGTCCAGTAGTGGCGGGTCAGGAAGTTACAATAAGAAACAATACAAAAACACTATAGTAGTACAAACTTTGATGAATGACATGAGATCAACATGATTTGGAAGTAGCATTCGTGAACGATAACAATGATGATCCTTGTCTATAAAGAAACACTTTACACAAACCCTGCAAATCCGGCCATCTCAAAGTGCGTAAACCATCATCACGCGAACTCTGGGTCATCCTCACCGCAGCAGCTGCGGCCTTTGGCTCAGCCATCGAACAGAAACGGCCACCGCATCGCGCACTTTCAGGAGTGCTTGCTTCTGCGGCCGTCTGGAACGTTCTCCCGATATTAGGAAGCCACTGGAGTTATCTACATTCAAATAATTTTGATTGAAAAACTAATTTCTTGAGAACTGCTTTTTGTGTTCAGTTTGTTGTCCTTCCCCCGCACCTCAGATTAGCACGGTTATCTACGTACGGTGCGAAAGAAGTTCAACATACATAACAACCTCAACGCCAGCCACAGAAATAAACAACGGCACCCTTCCTTTTTCGCAGTGGGAGTCGGAGCCTCGCCCACAACCGGACCGGTCCCGCCCGCCAGTACCACCGCTTGTTCGCTGCTTGACAACTCCATCATCGGCACGTTCGAGCACGTGCGGGACCTCTGCTGGGGCGCCTTCTGCTGCCCCGGCTCGGCGGCGCTGCTCGCCGTCCAGCACAAGCGCCACGCCACCGTGTGGCTCCTGCGCCACGTGGGCCAGCTCCCGTCGGACCCGGCGGCCAAAGGGCACGATCCTTGCGCGAACCTGCTCGTTTCGCAGACCTGCGAGGTGGCGGTGCACCAGCCCATCCTGCCCCAGGGCTGCGTGTGGCACCCGAACAGCGACGCGCTGGCCTTGCTCACCGGCGGCGAGGCGTGGCTGCTGCCCGCTGCCCGCCAGGGCAACTCGCGGATCCGCGTCCCCTTGCCGCACCACCAACACCACCAGCAGCAGCAGCACCAGCACCAGCTGCGCCATCCCTGCTGCTCGCAAGCCGTGCGGTGCGCAGCGTGGTGCGACGGTGGCAGGCGACTGGTTGTTGCCGCGGGTGCCTCCATCTTCTTGTACGAGTGGCACGAGGCGCGTCGGTCCCTGTCCCCGTCTGCCACCTGCCCCATATTCCACCTGGGAGGGTTCGCCTCTGCGGCGCTACCTGTGGGGGGATCGCTCCTGGCGGTGGCGTTGGAGGCGCCGGGGCTGGCGGCGGTGGCGGCAGCGCCAACTCCGTGGCCTCACAATAAAACGGCGGGCGAGCGACTGGCGAGCTCTCAAGTCTCCCTCGTACCCGCTGTCGAACCGGGAATTCAAGAGATGAGGGCGCTGCCGGGACACCCTAGGGTGAGAGATTCACGGCCGCGGCAATGGTTACTTCGACATGCATATAATAACGTAAGCGAATATTTCCCTTGATTTGTCATTTATGGCAATGTACGTGAAGAGGGATTGGTTGTCACGGTCGTTAGTACACTGCATTATGACCTCCACATGCCACCTGAGTTCGATTCCCAGCCATCGCTAACATCGTTGGCTAAATGACCAAGGTGAGATTTTTCAAATTTTTCCTGATCGACAGCTGTAACTGCCGATCAACTTTGGTGTTACACATTTATACGGCTGCTTGGATAGAGGCAGGTGGAATCAAGAAAATTGCCCCATTGTTTTAACTGCCGCACCAAAAGATTGGTTTGAACTGCTAACCTCTAGGATTGCAAACCATAGACCGCGAACCATTACCCCCGCGGTAGCATCCCGATGCTCGTGATTATGACAACGATAATATTGTGGTATCGGTATATATTTTTTACCTTTGAATCCATCCGGCCCATGCCTTGCAGCACCGCAGCTCGGCGGACTTGTGTCCACTGCGTGGAGTCCGCGAACTCTCCGGCCGCGGGGCCCCCGCCCTCCACCCTCCTGCTCGTGTCGTTCGACGGCAGCAGCCACGGCACGTGCGCCACCCGTCGCGTGCTCATGCCGGGCCTCGCCGTGCCAGACCTGGTCGCCTTCGAGCCTCGCTCGGCGACGCTGGCCCTTGCGTCCAACGCCGCGGGCCTCGTGTTGCTCTTCACGCTGGGACCTCTGGGCTCCGTCGTGGCCAGCGGCAGCGTTCGCCTGGCGTCGGAAGAGAAGGTCAAAGGTAGCGGCCCAAAATCGCGCGCGCGGTGCAGCGCCCTGCGCGATCCGGCCAAGCACCGATGAGATTTGGAGCGGACCGTACGACGTATGAACGACGCAATGCCTGATCCACAAGTACGAAGGAGACGTCACAGCGATACACTCCCCTGATCCTGACGTGGTTGCATGGCTTGAACACCTCAATGTGAAATTGTAAGTGGTTGTTCTGCATTTACATTAGCCATACGAAGGACGACTGATGACATTCATGTGAAGGGGTTAATTAACACTTTCCACTGATGTTAGCCGTGGTCAGGAATCTAACCCACTCGTGTTGATGGGTTCACCATCCAGTGTGCTAACCATTACGTCGACCGGGACGTCAACAGTGGCCATCCTATGGATAGACTCAGCCCAAACATGAGATTATGGAAGTTCTTCCACCACTGGCTCAGGGCTACGCGAAGAGGATATGAGCACCGCCTCAATGCTCGATTGAGCAGGAAAATCACGTTGAGAAATCTGAAAGCGATAAACTAAACTAATTTATCTTCTTGGTTCTTTCGGTAAAGTCACGTAGAAGGGAAATAATAAAATAATAAAACATAATATAATAATTCTCACGACGTTTCGGCTACAACGCAAGCAGCCGTCCTCAGGTGAAGAATGAAACACCACCAAACTTGGAGCGTAGCCGAAACGTCGTGAGAATTAATTTATTATGTTTTATTTTTATTATTTTATTATTTCCCTTCTACGTGACTTTACCGAAAGAACCAAGAAGATGAATCCCTGCAGTCACGGAAGCTTTAAATCGAAATTTAGAATAATTTAGTTTTGCCAGGAAAGGCCCACTGAGATATATTGCTCTTTTTTCAGAAGCGACATGGCCACAACAGATAGCCCAACGAAGTGGCTTATTTTTTTATTTAAAGCTTTCGTGACTGCAGGGATTCATATTTTTGTTTTTTTCGGTCACGTAGAAGGGAAATAATAAAATAATATAAATATAAAACAATAAAAATTTTCTCACGACGTTTCGACTGCAACACAAGCAATCATCATCAGGTGTGAAATCCACAGAAAGAAAATTTCTCTGTATTTCACACCTTTCCCTTCTACGTTACGTGACTTTACCGAAAGAACCAAGAATATGAAGTGGTATTTTTTCGATTTAAAGCTTTCGTGACTGCAGGGATTCATCTTCTTGGTTCTTTCGGTAAAGTCACGTAGAAGGGAAATAATAAAATAATACAAATAAAACATAATAAAATAATTCTCACGACGTTTCGGCCACACCGCAAGCAGCCGTCCTCAGGTGAAGAACAGGTCTGTCGGGAAGATGCTGCTTGCGTTGTGGCCGAAACGTCGTGAGAATTATTTTATTATGTTTTATTTTTATTATTTTATTATTTCCCTTCTACGTGACTTTACCGAAAGAACCAAGAAGATGAATATGAAGTGGCTTATTATGGAGAACTTTATACCAGACACATACTCTAAACGCATGATTCCACATGCGAAGCAAAAAACCGGAGGACCCGGAGAAAAATCCACGTGACCACGGAGAGAGAGACACGCAAACTCCAAATGTCCAGGCTTATCACACTCAGAAACACCGCCCTGCGCGTCACTGCACTCTGCGCTCTTCCAGGCGTGTGCTTCTTTGGCGACCGGACCCTGCTGCTGGCATCGGGCAGACTCTGCCAGGGAGACGCGCCTCTCGTGTTGTCGTCACCGCCATCATCGACGTCGTCACCGGAGCCGTTCTCATACACGAGCAAATACTCCCTGCGCATCCTCGCACGCGACCTCCCGACCCCGCGGGCAGCGGAGGACGAACGCAGCGCTTCCATCCAGAGCACCGTGTCCAGCTCAAGGTCCAGCCTTAACTACATGCAGGCACGTCAAGGTCCAGCGGCGGGAACTGTGGAGTGTCTGAGTGGTGTAATTGCACTGGGAGAGGTCCATAGGGTGGGATAGGCGGGGGCGGGGGAATTAAGATAATTTCATGGTTTGCACCAGGAGCTATGCCTAACATGCTACGCCATTGTTGAGGTAGATAGATGTATGGCCTTAATTTCCCATACATCAAAGTTGATATATTACAAAATATGACAATTAGAATTCAATCATTATCAATAGTTGTCACTCGCCAGCAATTATAACCTACCAATAAATTTCGATTTAAAGCTTTCGTGACTGCAGGGATTCATCTTCCTGGTTCTTTCGATAAAGTCACGTAGAAGGGAAATAATAGAATAAGAAAAAGAAAGAAAATTATTTTATTATTTTAAATTTGTATTATTTTATTATTTATCTTCTACGTGACTTTACCGAAAGAACCAAGAAGATGAACCTACCAATAGTTGTATTAAACATTATTGCTAGCTATGTAGGTCATGTCACACCCTCTCAAAAACACAAGCTTATCCTTTTAAAAGAGGATGTTTTAGCAAATTTCTGTTGATTTATCTTTGCTTTGCACTAATTTTGGTTTTTCTTGGCCTTCCCGCAATAACACATATTATGAAAGTTTACGATATCATACCGAAGGAATTTCAATGCGGAACTCACTTTATTCCCAGGATGCCGTACTTGTTGCGAATAGGACGTGTGAAACAAATATAGAGATGTACGTTGAATGGCAGATAAGTATTAGAGGCGTTGTGTCTGCTTGTTAATGTCATTACTTATTATCCACATCGACGCTTAACGATAATGACAAGTGATCTTTAATTTAACGTGTGAGGCTGTTCTAAATCATGGACATCACTGATCATTGCCAGCAGAGGCCACTCCGCAGTATGAACAGCCCCATGTTCCATCCACTGCTTGATGAAGACCTCACCACGCCCTGATTGATGGCCATGGTGGTTATTTGACCATCACCATGTTTGTGATCCATCAACCCTTGACCCCCAAAGCAACGGATCACAGTCGAAGTGAGTAACACAAGTGAATGGAGGAGGATAGCATACAGACGTGAGAGCATAGACGTTCAGTACAACAGCCGATGCTGTTGCCCATGCCCTTTGCATCCCTGCACGTAGCTCCACAGCCTATAACACCTGGGATATACAATCTTGACTTGAAGCTTTCGTGACTGCAGGAATTAATATTATTTTGGTCTTTCGGTAAAGCCACGTAGATAGGTTCAAAGAAAATAACAAAAATTCGACGTCGTAACTTTACCAAAAGACCCAAAGAATACCTGCATGGGATATTATTATATTTCACAGTTCTCTATGTTAAACCGCACGCGGTGTCTGTGTGTCCACTTAGCAGCCAATGTTGCAAAGCCTTTCGACTTAGAAAGAAGCCATGACGACTGTCCTCTTCAACGAATGTAACTCAGGAAAATCACGATGCTTTTTACGTGAACCATCCTGTGTTAAATGAGGCTGAACATAACACAACAACGGTGTGAATAAACAAAAGCGTCAATGGCCCGTACGGGGATCGAACCCGCGACCTTGGCGTTATTAGCACCACGCTCTAACCAGCTGAGCTAACCGGCCACATGCTCACAGTGCTGGAGTCGACGCGTGAATTATTTACTTTCATTACCCGACCTTCCGCATTCATGCTTGTCAAAGTATTTGTTTCACGTGCCATCAGCCCACACGTTCATCGTTGCCAGTGTACAATGTCGGCAGCATGAGTGCAATTCAAGCAAAACCATGGACCGGTTTCAACATTTCAGTGTCTCACCAGCATAGCCCAGGCTTGACCTGAACCAATGCTGGTGAACTGACGGATGTTTAGGGGCGAGGTAGGACACCTCTGTTAAGATACAAACTATTACAAGTTTCTCCAGATAACGGCCACCGACTTTTAAGCGCGTTTTTAGAAGCGACCTGGCCACAAATGACAGCTGAACAAAGTGGCTTATCACGTGGACATTTATAGCAGCCAAATACTGTACTTTAAATACATGTTTCTAAATGTGGAGTTAAAAACCGGTGGACCCGGAGAAAAATTCACGCGACCACAGAGAGAGAGACTCGCAAACTTTAAATATACAGCAGGCGTCAGGGTCGAAATCGAACCCACAACATCCTGTATACCAGCGAGGTAGTTAACATCTCGCCACCGACACAAATGACACACGATGTTATCCACTGTAATGTGGGTCTGGAGACTACATGCACTATATACACACGCAGTCCTTTATTGTAAATATACCTGTGGATCTCAGCAGTGGACGTCCTTTCTCTGGCATATTCATCTCATTTGTCTGCCATTCCATCATTCGTCTCGACCACCTGCCAACGTCGCTTCGAGCTGACCTGTCCTCCCCAAGCCCAATTTAATCATCAGACAATACGATGTCTCTATATTTAAATGTGTTCTCCAATCCACGTGTTCCTCCTCCTGCCTCAATGTATCTCTCTAATCGTTCTTCATGGGCTTATTCAGCTTTTGTTTTTATTTTCATGACCTTATCAAATTTAAACATGTGTTTGACCATACCCTCCAAGCAACGGATCACAGTCGAAGTGAGGAACAAACGTGAATGGAAGAGGGTAGCATACAGACGTGAAAGCATAGAGGTTCAGTCCAACAGCAGATGCTGTTGCCCATGCCCTTTGCATCCCTGCACATAGCTCCCCAGCCTATACTACCTGGGATATTATTAGATTGAACTATTCTCTATGTTAAACCGCACGTGGTGTCTGTGTGTCCGCTTAGCAGCCTATGTTGCAAAACCTTTCGGTTTAGAAAGAAGCCATGACGACTGTCCTCTTCAAGGAATGTAATTCAAGAAAATCACGATACTTTTTACGTGAACCATACTGTGATAAATGAGGCTGAACATAACTAAACGAAACACAACAACGGTGTGAATAAACAAAAGCGTCAATGGCCCGTACGGGGATCGAACCCGCGACCTTGGCGTTATTAGCACCACGCTCTAACCAGCTGAGCTAACCGGCCACATATTCACAGCCTTTGAGTCGACGCGTGATAAGTCTACTTTCTATACCCGTATTTCTGCATTCACGCCTTCAAAGTATTTGTTTCACGTGCCATGAGCCACATGGACCTCTCTGCCAGTGTACAATGTCGGCAGCATGAGTGCAATGCAATAAAAACTCTGGACCAGTTTCCACATTTCAGTGTCTCACCAGCAGAGCCCAGGCTTGACCTGAACCAATGCTGGTGAACTGCCGGATCTTCTTGGTTCTTTCGGTAAAGTCACGTAGAAGGGAAATAATAATATCATAAAAATAAAACAATAAAATTATCACGACGTTTCGGCCACAACACAAGCAGCCGTCCTCAGGTGCAGACAGAGCTGTCTAAAAGACAGCGCTCCAATGAACACTGCTAAGCTTGGCAGCGTATTATAAGCTGGGTGGGAGGAGAAGAGCGCTTTGACAAAGCTGTGTTAATGTGAGAGATTAGCATGATGTTAAAGTTAGAAATTAGCATGTAACTGGGAGATTAGCATGATGTTAATATGAGGAATTAGCATGTAACTGGTCACGGAAGTGGCTATGTTAAAGTCAGAGTTTACATATCAACAGAGGCATTTAGTATATTGACGCTAAAGGACTGCAACCACCCACTATCATCCAGTTCTTGGTTGCAGTCCGTCCGTCGTGCATCCAAAAATGGGAGGGGTGGGGCTGGGTGGAGAGGGGAAGGTGGGGAGGGGCTGGGTGGGGAGGGGAGGGTGAATAGGGGCTGGGTGGGAGAGGTGGGGCTGGGTGGGGAGGGGCTGGTCACCCCATGGTGCCCTTATAAAACTCAACATTTAACCTACTCACGCCGGCTTGTGCCCACCCTCACAGTCGGCCATATTTGCGGAATACACCACGCCGCCGTTGACCCTGGCCATTGACCGAGCAACCCAACGTTCCTAGAAGCTCCCTCCGCAGGAATGTGTTTCAAGAAAATCAAGATGCTTTTTACGTGAAGCATACTGTGATGAAGTCGGCTGGACATTTCTGAAAAAAACACAACAACAATGGTGTGGATTAACAAAAGCGTCAATGGCCCGTACGGGGATCGAACCCGCGACCTTGGCGTTATTAGCACCACGCTCTAACCAGCTGAGCTAACCGGCCACATGCTCACAGTGTTGGAGTCGACACGTGATATATCTGCTTTCATTACCCGTCCTTCCGCATTCATCAAAATGCGCAACTTTAAATAAACGTTTGATTAATTTTCATTATTAACTATTTTATTATTTAAATTGACTAAGGTCACTTTTTATTTATTCCATGAAGAAGCATTTTGCTTCTCCATCGGAGAATGGAGAAGCATACATTTTGAATTTTTTTTTTATAATTGTTATAAAACATTTTAATTTTAATTATTCTACCAGGGCTTTTCATTCTGTGGAATGAATGTGTGATTGTTATAACTGTACACTTCATTTTGCTTCGTTCTACTACAAAGTTTCAAGTATTTTTAAAAAAGTTATTATTACTTTTAATATTTTATAATTATAAGATAATTTCAATATAATATTCTGAACATCTGCAGTTTTAGTTAGACGTTTAATATTTTCAAGTGAATTTTATGCTACATTTCAGCTTTCCACCGCCTCCTTTTTAATACGTGTTTTCTCCTACAACATCAGAGTGCAGCGCCACATTAAATACGCACTACAATGACAATAGTTTAAAGTGATTTTAAGCATGTTTTATTTTCAAAATGGAAATATGGTTTGGGGGGGGGGCAGAGCTTTGTGACATCATATTTGAGGGGGGTCTGATTTTTTGTGACGCCGTGTGACGAGAGGGGGATGGGGGGGTCAAAACTAGGCCAAAATCGCGTGACGTTATTTATGGACGGCCCCACATTTATAGCAGCCAAATACTGTACTCTAAAGACATGTTTCTAAATGTGGAGGGAGAAACCGGAGGACCCGGAGAAAAATCCACGCGACCACAGAGAGAGAGACACGCCAACTCCGAATATACAGCAGGCGTCAGGGTCGGAATCGAACCCACAACCTCCTGTATACCAGGCGAGATAATTAACATCCCGCCAACGACACAAAATGAAATGTTGTAAATTCCCGTTTGTGTGCATTATCTCCACCGTATTGCTTTCATATATTGTATTTCTTCTGCGGTCATTCCCTGACCAAAGTGTTGATCTCACGTACCGATGGTGCCTCGTGATATTTTGCATGGGAGGTGCATAATCGAATGAATTCCGATTTTTTTTTTCCTGATGATTACACTGGTCAACAAAAAAAATACATTTCTTTTTATGGCCTGGGCTTTTGCAGCTGTTTAGACTAATTTCAGGGTGCTGATTCCAAATCTGATCTCAGATTTGCTCTACCACATCTCATTTTAATGCTATCGGCATACCCAATTTTCATTGATTTTACCCGAAGTTAACTCTGTCACTTATGATTGCAAGTTGTTGCGAGTCAGTGACTGCTTTAGTGTTAAAATATGGTGCTGTATTTTTAGGATAGTGTGTTTATAATATAATTTTATGTAGATATCAACATTTATTTAATATTTTTCTTCCACAGTTTTTTATTGAAAATGCAATATTTGATATCTCAAAAACCTGATGTGATGGACAAAAACTGATGCCAGATTTGGAATCAGCACCCCAAAGTTATTAAAACCGTTGGAATACCTTATGCCAGAAAAAGTGTGTTGACCAGTGTTATTGTTACTGCCGGCGGCGCCAATGATGACGACGCTCATGAACTTGTCCCGTAATCCAGGTGAACGCGGACAGCAAAGGTGAAGATGACATCTGTGCACCGCTGGTCGTCGAGTGCGAGGCCGGACCCCCGACCCTGGGAGACTCGGAGGCAACTCTGCCACGTGGCAATCGCTCAGCGAGGGCAGAGGAATGGCAAGGGCATGGCCAAGAGCATGCCACCTCGCAGACATACTTCACCAGACTCCTCGTGAACGGCGAGCACCCCAGCGGGAGTGCGTGATCCAACCTCCATCCACACCCGAGTTTCTGATTTTTGCGAGTTGATTACTCTCGTGGTATCGTTATTATTCGTCGTATTATTAAAAACAGTCAACTAAAATGCGTAGCATTTCGCGGTTGTGCTGTACAGCTCTCCGATGTGTTTTTCGGGTTACGCCGCGTGTCCTTCGGCACGGTGTCCGACGTTTCTCTCCACGCTCTGTGGGAGCATCCTCCGGATGTGCATTGAAGCCACGTGCCAAAGTCTAACTCGCGGTTAATACTCGGCTTGTGTTTTTGCTTGCATACACAATCACGCACGCATGCATATCCACACACACAAAACAACAGACCTCGAATTGTCAGGCAAGTTAATGACGAGCCCACGACCGCTCGGCTCACATCCCAGGCTTCACCACGACTCCAGCGATCACCTGGGATCCCACGGGGATGTGCGCACGGGACCCGCCTCTGAGTGCGACCGCGCCGGTCCCACCTTCTCCCCGCTCCTGCGCAGCTCCGTGTGCGACAGCCTCAACAGCCTCTTCGTGCAGCTGCGGCAGAACGTGCAGCGCCTCAATTCGGACGTCGCCGAGGTCACCGTGCACCTCGCCGATCGGCCCAAGGTGCCGACGTCGCCCATCTCGACCGCGGCACCCCTGACGACACCACGTTGTCCTCATCACCACCGGACGACGCAGCAGCAGCAGCCTCGAGTTCGTGCGAGCGCCGTTGTTCGCAACTCGCCTCCGGGCTGCGCGGCGAAGAGAGTGGACGATGCGAGGGGAAGCGGTGCTGATGGGTCACCTCGGAGCGGGGTGCGGGCCGCGCAGGTGGCACGGCTGGTGGACGAGAGGAACGTGACGGTCCCCGTGGACGCGCGCGCCGAGTGGGTGCGCGTCACCTGCCAGGTGGCTGGACGCGCGTTTTGCTCGCGACCCAGGGAGTGTAGTGGCGTACAAGGCCACGCAGCGATAGGGGAGCCAATGGGGGGGGGGGTGGCACGTGCCCCCCCCCAATGATCCGATCGAAATGCCTAAGTTCGATCGGACCATTGGAGTTTATCAGTAATAAATCGGCATTTTGCGGCCCCCACTGCCACTGTGTAGCATATTATTACGTGCCAGGGACTCTATGAGATGATAGGGCAATAGTCCATAATTGGAAATAAGTAACGGCAAAGCAGTTATAAGTGACTCAGAATTGTGCGCAGTTGCGTACAGAGTACACGACTTCCCTGAAGGCATTCACCTTCAGCGAGCGCGATGCCGATCACACAACGCGGTTCGAATTCGACTCTCGATCGATGGCTGCGTCATCGCCGCACACGCGTCGAATAAAAAGCAAGGGACAAGTCCTTACTTACTAACAACTCCTCTATCATTTTTCATTGCTGGAGGGGTTGCCCCCCTATTTGAAAATCCTGGCTCCGCTATTGAGCTGGGGAACGATTTCTAAAACTAAACTCGTTTATTTTACCCGGTTAAGGCCCACTGAGCTACTAGTTCTTGTTCAGAAGCGACCTGGCCAACAAATGATGGCGTGGGACTTTATAGAAGCCAAATACTCGCACGGTGACTCTAAACGTGGAGGGGGAAACCGGGGGACTTGGAGATCACCGGGAGAGAGACACCCAAACATACAGCAAGCGTCAGGGTCGGGATCGGGATCGAACCCACGACCTCCTGCATACCAGGCAAGGTAGATAATATCTCACGAGCGTGGCGCCCCATACTTTTGGCCACACTTTAACAAAGACAGCCTTAACAGGCTTTATGGGCAAGTGCTGTTAGCGAGCACCTATGAAGGCCGGCACATTACACGAGGGGGTGGGTGGCCAGCACACTCTCGATGGCTTTATCTTCCCAGTGGCGATGTTAACACACTGCGACAGGTACTCATTTGAGGCGTAGTCGGTTCAGATAATCGTCACTGGTGTTGGCCTTGAACAGGAATCGAACTCGGGTTGCCGGGTTCGTCGAGCTAACCACTGCGCCACCGCTCCGCGCTCTCACGCGCGTGCGCACTCCAGATTCCTGTCACTTATGTCATTGGGAGGGGCCAAGCGGTCAGTAACAAACAACACGACTGAAGAGTAAATTAATTGAAGGAGTTAACACATTGTCCTGCGGAGGGAGCTGGTAGGAACGTTGGGTTGCTCCGTCAATGGCCAGGGTCAACGGCGGCGTGGTGTATTCCGCAAATATCCCCGACTGTGAGGGCGGGCACAAGCCGGCGTGAGTAGGTTAAACGTTGAGTTTTATAAGGGCACCACGGGGTGACCAGCCCCTCCCCACTCACCCAGCCCCACCCCTCCCACCCCCCACCCAGTCCCTCCCCACCCTCCCCACCCAGCCCCTCCCCACCCTCCCCACCCAGCCCCACCCTCTCCACTCAGCCCCTCCCCACCCTTCCCTCTCCACCCAGCCTCACCCCTCCCATTTTTGGATGCACGACGGGCGGACGGACACAATAATCCCCTGTGGGCTGGTGTAACCAGGAGGTTCCTACCAGTAATAGGATTCTTGAATTGACCAAGGTTGTAAGAACTATAGAAAAGAGACGGTGGGAGGGAATGTCAAAGTCGAGCAGTGCGAGTTTATTTGATTTGGTGCACGGATTATTGAGTTGAGCAAGTTTCACGGCTAGGACAGAGACAGCAAGGGAAGTGATGTGACATGGAGTGTGGTGACGCAAACCCGTCAGTGTCTGGTATACCGAGTCGTTAACGTGGGTGGACGAATCAATGAGTGATGTTCGTGGGAACAGTAACCATGGTAGCAGCGATAGAAGAGTGATAAGGGGGCGACTGACCCCTGGAGTAGATTACTGGATCATCGGTTACCCTGATTGCCGTACGTTGAATCTGCGTGCGTGCAGGGCGGATCGGATGGGAACGAGACGGGAATTTTTCTCCTCGCTGGAGGACGCCTGCATCTCGGCGTGGTCAAGGAAGTGTTCGCGCTGCGTGTCGTCGAGATTCAAGCTGGTGGGTACCACAGGACACCGACGTTCCCATACAGACACAGAGATAAAGATCCCCCGTGTAGCCTGTAACAGACTGTTGGGGCAAGTGCTGTTAGCGAGCACCTATGAAGGCCGGCACGGCACGCGAGCGGGTGGGTGGTAGGGCTGAACGATTTGGGGAAAAAATCTAATTGCGATTTGATTTGCGATGACATTTTTTAAAAGTCAAGCTTCAGTTCAATATTCACTGTGTAATAGATTTAAAATATGTGATGGAGCATTACCAAATGATACCATCAAAATATGAACTGCTCTATATATTCTAATGCAAGGATGAGAACTTAAACGATATGAATTGCTTCCAACATGTATTTATTAAAATGTTTTAATTGAAATAGAACGATCAAACATAGAACAATTGTTAAGTTAAATAAATAAAAGTATAATAATAAAATAATTAAACAATTCCAATAAGAAAGTAAGAGGACTTTTCAAATCGAAAAAAATTGCAGCCTTTGCGATTTGCTAATCGCATTGTTTCAAATTCCGATTTGAAATCGATTAATCGTTCAGCCCGAGTGGGTGGTCAGCTCTACGCCCGGCCGCATTTGGAGATAAGATTGCCATCCCTGAGGTACAATACAAATTGTGACCTATCATGGAAAGATGAATATTCGCCGAGGAGAGAACTACGTGTGCATAACACAACTGACAAAAACACGTGACTTTTAATGCCCTCTAACCCGCGACCACGATTAGCCCGGTTGACTACGTACGGCGAGAAAGAGTTTCAACATAGGTAATACATAAAATGTAGACTGAATGGCGATTCCTCATGAACTGGTTACGCAAGTCTCTTTTCCACGAGGCGATCTTAATATGCTCTTATCTGATTAAGCACAGGACGGGGGAATTACCGTCATTCGACTGTACATTCGGTCAACGGTATGTGGAAGCCGCCTGTAATCAATGCGAAATCTCTAGGTAACGAGATTAACCTCGAAATCGTTACAGTTCACGCATTCTGCATACGTGGGTGTAGAAGCGATACGAAATAACCGATGGGAATAACTCAACAATGTCTCCAGTCGCTGGGTCTGGTTGTGAGGAATGTGTGTTAAAGTTACCGGTCACCTACCACGATGTTAAATGGCGCGTTAAACACGTGCACACTCGACCATTTGATTTGTTCGGCTCTACGAGGTGGTGGAGGGTATTAACGACACAAATCTGGCCGGAATGTTTCCGTGTCCTAACGAGAAAAAAAAAGATTGTGAATAATAACATTGGGCGCCCAAAAACCTGCGTGTTGACGACACAAATCTGGCCGGAATGTTTCCGTGTCCTAACGAGAAAAAAAAATATTGTGAATAATAACATTGGCCGCCCAAAAACCTGCGTGTTCACATACATATATGTTTCTGTTATAATATACAGTGACTAGCTGTACTACCCGGCTTCGCCCGGGACTTGTATCCACCACGGCCGGCCGCCTTTGTCTCCCCAGTGGCGATGTTAATACGCCACACCAGTTACTCGTTTTGCGGCTGAGTCCCTCCCTCACCACTCTCCCTCCCTCACCACTGTCCCTCCCTCACCACTCTCCCTCCCTCACCACTCTCCCTCCCTCACCACTCACGCACGGCCGCCTTTGTCTCCCCAGTGGCGATGTTAATACGCCACACCAGTTACTCGTTTGAGGCTGAGTCGACCTAGGGGAGTTTCAAATAATCGTCACCGGTGGTGGCCGTGAGCGGGAATGGAACTCGGTTCGCCGGGTTTGTAGCGCAGCGTAGCGTTAACCACTACACCCACCGCTCCTCACACACCACACACGCACAGACACACACACAGACACACACACAGACACACGCAGACACACACAGACAGACACACACACAGACACACAGACAGCACGCTAACCACTACACTACCGCTCCCCACACACCACACACGCACACACACAGACACACACACACAGACACACACACAGACACAGACAGCACGCTAAGCACTACACTACCGTTCCCCCTACACAACACACGCGCGCGCGTCCATTGGTACACATACACGCGCTTGCTGCAGACACACACGACTGTCAGGGTGCGTACGGCAGTAAACGACTGAAAAAAGAAAGCGGCAATGCTGCGCGAGGAACGCCTTAGACCTGCAACACATTTGTGTAATGCGAGCGTAAACACACAAACACATACAAACACATACACACATACATACACACACATACACACAAACACATACACACACATACATACACACAGACATACACATACACACAAACACACACATACATACACACAAAAACATAGACAATACACACATAGAGGGGAAGTAATAAAATAATAAAAAATAATAAAAATAAAACATAATAAAATTATTCAGACTCTGTCGCCTCGACGGACCTGGTTTTCACCTGAGGACGGCTGCTTGCGTTGTGGCCGAAACGTCGTGAGAATAATTTTATTATGTTTTATTTGTATTATTTTTTATTATTTAATTACTTCCCCTCTACGTGACTTTACCGAAAGAACCAAGAAGATGAATCCCTGCAGTCACGAAAGCTTTAAATCAAAAATACACACATACATGCAGACACACAGACAGACACATAACACACATACATACACGCAGATACATACACAGAAACACATACACACAATACATAGACACACACATACATACACACAAACACATCCACAGAGGTACATACACACATACATACAGACACGCAGACATACACATAAACACATAGAAAAAAACCCACATACATACACACACACATACATACACACAAACACATACACACACACATGCATACAGACACACAGACATACACATAAACACATACACATGACCCGGCTTCGCCCGGGACTTGGATCCAGCACGCCCGGCCGCCTTTGTCTCCCCAGTGGCGATGTTAATACGCCACACCAGTTACTCGTTTTGAGGCTGAGTCCCTCCCTCGCCACTCTGCCTCCCTCACTACTCTGTAGAGGACGTGAAATTTGTATGAATTTACCTCAGAGTGGCGTGGTGGGTGTCGAGGCCTAGCACCGTGCAGAGCCTCCCGCCTCGCCTGATTTTCCCACCCGGCGAACGCTGGGTACGGGTGGCGTTCCTTCCCCCCGCCCCTAGCGCTCCAACAATACTGTGTAATGGCTATTATTTAATTAAATACGGAGCTTATGAAAGTGGCGAAGGCGTGGCTAGCCGTTGGCAGGGGCAACCGCCGTCCAATGAAACTGCAGCCCTTGGCGAAGGCGTGTCTAGCCGTTGCCAGGTCCAATGAAAGCGGCGAAGGCGTGGCTAGCCGTTGCCAGGGGCAACCGCCGTCCAATGAAAGTGCGTATGGGCCAAAGTCCACACACACACACACAGACAGACAGACATGAACGATTTTATATATATAGATGGCTTTTTTGTGTGTGCAGTCATTGGTGAGCGGGCTGAGACCATGAACTTAATAGACTTGAGAATCTGGTACTGGTAGGAACCTCTTGGTTACACCAGCCCACAGGGGATTATTGTGTCCGTCCGTTTGTCGTGCAGGGAGGGGCTGGGTGGGGAGGGAGGGGCTGGGTGGGGAGGGTGGGGAGGGGCTGGGTGGGGAGGGTGGGGAGGGGCTGGGTGGGGAGGGAGGGTGGGGAGGGGCTGGGTGGGGAGGGGCTGGTCACCCCGTGGTGCCCTTATAAAACCAAACGTTTAACCTACTCAAGCCGGCTTGTGCCCGCCCTCACAGTCGGGCAAATTTGCGGAATCCACCACGCCGCCGTTGACCCTGGCCATTGACCGAGCAACGCAACGTTCCTACCAGCTCCCTCCGCAGGAATGTGTTTTAATCATAGGCGGCTGCCTGGATGCAAACCTAGCAAACCTCAGAGTGCCGGTTCCAACACTGATCCGTGACAAGAACAGGGTCTCACCACTGACTGCAGCCGCCTTAACACAGCGACTCTCGCGGACCGAATTAGCGGCCGGCTTGACGCGTAAAGATTCGAGCTGTGAACATGGGGAAGACGGCGCTCATACCCAGGCAGGGATGTGCCATGCACGGTGCACAAGGCGAGTCCTGCGAACAGAAATCGACAGCCGGTCCCGTGGTGGCTATGCACGCCTGTAATCCAGCACGGTGGGAGGCGAGGAACGATGGATCGAATGACAAATGTTGCGAAACTCCCTTCCCGTGGGGTATCGAGGAAGTGCCATAACCTGGCTTGCCAGCGGAATGCAGTCCAGCAGAGTGTGTGGACTGATTGCCTCCTCGCATGCGTGCGCCTCCAGGTGATCTGGTTTACTCCCACATGTATAATAAACAACATCTTAATATTCTTAGGTTTTTTCGGTAAAGTCACGTAGGTAAAAAATTAAAATTAATAAAAGTAAAATAAAATAAAAATCACGACGTTTCGGAGGCAACACAAGCTTCCGTCTTCAGGTGGAACCGTCACAGCCCGACAGCTGTATCAAGTAAATGAGAGATTACAGGAGATACCACTCCGTATATATAATGATTGAGGGGGGGGAAGGGCCAGGAATGGCCCACTTTTTATTTTACTTTTATTAATTTAAATTTTTTACCTACGTGACTTTACCGAAAAAAACCTAAGAATATGAATCCTTGCAGTCACGAAAGCTTCAAATCTAGAACATCTTAATACATTGAGAACTGCAGAGCGACTGTTGGTGGGGCCGGCTCACAGCCTGGCTCCAGCCTTTGAGCTCGTGTCTCTGGTTCCTTCAGCGATTGTGAGATGCAATTTTCATGCACGACGACGCTATAAAAAAAATGCCAGATTATTTTTCCGTTAAGATGTCGGCTCAGCCGCGGCAGCATCCCGGGGCAAGATCCCAAACAACCCCCTAAGCCGATAAGCACTGTAATTCTGGCGCTGTCTCAGAAATTAGACCATCCAGTTCTCTGTATGCAAAAGAGGCTGTCATGGGACTTTGTTAACGCGTAATCCCGTACAGGCAGCTGGAGGACGTAAGTGGCTCGGGGTAAATGGGGGTACCCCCACCTTGAGAGACCCCCATTAAATTTCGATTTAAAGCTTTCGTGACTGCAGGGATTCATCTTCTTGGTTATTTCGGTAAAGTCACGTAGAAGGGAAGTAATAATAAACGTCGTGAGAATTTTTTTATTATGTTTTATTTTTATTATTTTATTATTTCCCTTCTACGTGACTTTATCGAAAGAACCAAGAAGATAGAACCCCATTAATTTGGTATTTTATTGACACTCACAAAAGAAAATGCATTGAATGATTTAAAAAAAATATATTAATTTTTATTTAGACTAGGAGGAATCCGATGCGATATGAAGCTGTTTTTCATAGATATCCAGTATGGACGGGTCAGCAACAGTCACTTCATCTAGGGCCCTATTTAAAAACGATTGGAAATTTGGGACTATCTTGACCAGTTTCTAGATCCGCCTCTGCGTTGCTGTCAGGGAAAAATGCATTTTAGTGCAAGTTTTAGGCAAATTTTTTAATAATTTGGCCAGTTTTCTGCAGTCGCCGAAAAGCAGAAACATTGTAGACGAAATCTTGATTTGAAGCTTTCGTGACTGCAGTAATCCATACTCTTTGGTTCTTTCGCTAAAGTCATGTAGATAAAAAAATATTAATAGATCACGACGTTTCGATCGCAACACAAGCGACCTCACAACCTCTCTAAATTCCACAAAATGTCACATGGTAGATAAAAGGGCCAAACGCATTTCATCCACTTTTACTGGTTACTATCAAAAGTTGTGGCATGGAGGTGGAGGAGTAGGGCGACACCTGAATGTCATTGAATGGCAATAATGAAAGTTATACAACTTTCATTATTGCTAATCTCAAAGCACTGTACATCACAGATAAAAAAAATGTGTTTGTCATAAAAATACTGACCAGTAAAACCCCCATCACGATACAGTTAGACCAACAAAAAAAACATAGGCAACTATCGGTGTATCCCACGGAAGCTACTATAAAAACTGTCAAACATATGTAGTGACATAGAATGGGTCACTACGGTGCCGAGCGTCAGTTACTGACAGACAACTGGGAGTGTAGTAGCCCTCTGTGCCAGAAGGGCATGCGATGTCAGGGAACGGGTCTCTAGGGGGCGTAGTTCTGGTGGCTGGCAACGAGGGGGAACCTGAGGACGTAGCAGCCCGGTTGGCTGGCAAGGGCACGTGATAGGCCAGGGGAAGGACGTGGGCCAAAGGTGACAAAAGGGACACGTGGGGTATGGTCCAGAACCTTCTGGTAGGTTCCAGAAGGGGGCGTGGCCGAGGGTGGAGCCAGCCACGCTGGGGGCATAAAAGGGAGGTCCCAAGGCTGGGTTGGGGCTGTCTGCTGTAGTGGAGTCCTCCGTGCTGCGTCTTCGGTATTCATGCTCGGCATAGTGGGTCAGGCAGTGTGGCGACTGTCCTGAGCCGGTTTATGTAGTCATCCAGTTGTGGTCCATAGAATAAACGTGTTGTCCACTGAGTTAGTGTGTGTGTCTCTCAGTGAACCCACCACACATATATACGGCACGATCTCCATGAAATATATTGCAATCAGCAAGAAAAAGCTATTGAAGAATGCCTCATTTGCTGGGATCGCTTGGCACCACCGCGATAGTGCCTCCACTATTCGGTGTGCATGGTTAAAACAAAATGTATTCATTCATCACGCACAGTCGGCGCCCAACGCGTGACCTCTTGCGACAGCATTTGCGTAAACCGCTCTTGCTGCCATGCACCGGCGTCTCGAGTGATTTGTTTGATCCACGGAACACGCATACATTTGATGTGTACCCTATGGTGAATCAATGCATCAGTAACTCAACAAACCCCGTTGAATTTGCGTGTGGAACTCTGCTCCCCCCTTGCTGCGCATTCAACAGGCGAGACGTGGATGATCATCGGTGGGGATGAGGACAATTTGATCCCGCTGACCTTTGACCCGGGTGCAGAGGTTGTGGTGCGGGAGGGCAGGAGACGGGTCTGGCACGGGACGGTCACGGCACGCAACGCAGATGACGCGAGCTCCGAGGCGTAAGAAGGAACGCCTGAACCGGGCTACGAAGAATCCAGGACATGGGAAGCAGAAGACGACCACGAATGTGGGGAAAACTACACGTGAAAGCATTGTCTTGAGTGGTGTCTTGGAAAGCCAGGGCAGGTGGCAACCCTCGCCTGTGTATGCACCATCATTGTCACAGGGTAATCCTTTGCCACATTGGATCACCTATAACAATAAACACATGGCCATAGCCACAGCACTTAAAATGTAGGTTTTCGTAGCCATCATGATCCATGTTATTTGGGTTAAACTCCATCCTTAAATTCCGAGTTCACTACCCGATGAAGCTCGAATCAGTTTGAATCAAACATCGTCGTACGGTAAGTCTGGAGCCACCAGTGGAGCTTTATTGATAAGAATAATTTTCTCAATGCATTGCCACGTATTAATATCTTTGTAGACGTGACAATTGTCAGGTAGTAGACACGAATTTCGGCAAACACAATTACTACGTGGTGTCTCACTGTAAAAACAAATATGGATCAACATTGGTAACCCAGTGGTCCGCGTTTGCCTATACTTTGTAGCTGCACTTATTGCAGCATCGTCGCAAAATTACGAATAGCTACACAGCGCTTCTTGCTTTCAATTGTATAAATTATTCCTGTTACATGGCTTTGGTTGAATAAATACCATCAATAAAATATACGTAAAAAGTACTCTTTTTTAAAATACCCCTGATACAAGTAGCCAGGAAACGTGTAATTATTGCATTTTATTAACGAGATGCATGTACACAGTTGAGGGCAGGAACAAAATATATGCATTAAAACAATACGAGCAATATTTACAAAAATCTTTGAATTAAAAACGGGAGATGTCTTTATTTGTATTAAGGGGCACCTGGGTTTGGGGGACTGACCAGACCGCATTCAAATTAAAGGATCTGGCCCAGATGCCCCTCGATCCCGTCAATATTAAGAACGTTGGTGCTTGTGTCATGGACTACACGCGCGTGTATTCATGTAAACTGTACAGCAAATATATGTCCCTTAAGCGATGCAAAATCGATTAATGCAGTCATTCGTTACTAAAGTAACAAACATAAATCGTCGCACCAGTAGGGGATGGGACTATTGGGGGGGTATAAAGGAGGACTTACGAGCTCAAATATCAAACTGCCCAAAACCAAATAGTGTATGGCCATTATCACCAAGAATGTGTCCGGCCTTGTAAAATCTAAGACAATCATGGTTGACCCTACAAAGAGCTTGGATGAGTGACCATCACACACAGGTTGACAAGCTACAGAGTTACACATTGTGGGCAGCAGAGGGCAGTACAGCAAAAGCCATTGCTGTACTGTACTTCTATGCTCCCCGCCTTCACCAATCCCGCAGTGGCCAGCATGGTGAAATATGGCCAAATTACTTCCATGGTCCGCACGGTGCGGGGAGGCCCTCATCCAGCAGCGGATTGACAAGCGGGTAGTACGTGTACATACCAGTGCCACTGGGCCAACTTCCCCATGGTGGGACCAGCAGTGCCACTGTGTGTAATTGACTTCTCCAGGGTGGGACCACGCAAACGAGATCTCGGGTAGTTACGCAGACAAATGCATTCAGCCGACCGCACTTTCGATTAGCGCGGGTGGCTACATAGTGCCAAAGACGTTGAACATACAAACGTGGTTGCACTGCGTACACTCCTTATATACCAGGTGGAAAAGGCATCTGCACCTTAAAAGCATTTGCCTTATACAAAGTCCTATGAAATCTATTAAAGCGAAATACGATTTCCAATTGAAATGCAAATACATGGTATGCGACACTACAAAAATTCTGAAGTATATATATATACACATTGTATGCAACACTATATCTATGGGCTAAATAATAGTTTTGCAGAACATTCATCTATACCCGTATAAGAGTGAATTATGGAAAACAAATGAAAGTTTAGGTAAATACGGCACTACAAAACAAAAAGCACAATTTCCATTTTATAAAACGCACTTCCCCCGTGCCACCACCCCTGGGCACAAGTATGGAGTACGTGTTCATTTCCGGAGTGTCTTATAATCTGGAGAATAGGGCCAAGTGTAAATTGCACACTCCTCAGTGTGCATTATATCAACGGTTTATGCGTGAAAGCAGAACACGACGCTTTCAATCACAAAAATATACATTGTACAACCAGGTCAACACAATTGTGACACACACTGCCTAACGTCTTTGCTCAGACCAACTTAAGGAGGGGGGACTGCTTAACGCAGCGAGGAAGTTTATTCCAGTGGGGGGGTTCAAGGAGGGAGAAATACCGAAAAACAGGATTGGGGCACAGGGGAGAAGGGAGAGGAGACCAAGAGAAGATTGTGAATGAAGGGGATGAGAAGGAGGGGACATGATGAGAGAGGCGAGATGAGGTGGGGAAAGGCCATAGAAGAGCTTTAAAGACGAGCATCGGGTATTTGAAAAGACAGCGGTGTAGTGAATGGGAAAGCCAGTGGAGTTGGAGGAGGAGAGGCGAAGTGTGAGAGTTAAAGAGGAGATTGAGAATAACTCGTGCAGAAGCATTCTCAATTCGTTGGAGGGGAGTGGGAGGCAGAGGCAGGGATACCAAGAAAAAGAGAATTGCAGATGGTTAAGAAGATCAAAGAATGAACTAGAAATTTGGTGGCATAAATTATTTTCCTGATTCTTGATATGCAGCAATGAAATAGGCACCGGCTAGTTAGCGGGCCATTGGTCTGCAATTAGAGGGGCAATGTTGTTTTGTGGGCATCCCAAGGAAGGAATTTGCGAGTAATTTATCGAATTTGGCCAATTTGGACTTCGACCTCAGCAAACGCGGCCTACCGTTTAAAATGTGACGGCATATTTTAACGTCCAACGCAAAGCAGGCGGCGCGTATTTTGACAGTTAAATACACCCACAGCAATTAACCAGGGCGGCGAACTCGTGCGGCAAACGTGCCACTGCCGACGTCGAACCTTGGGAGGCCGGGGCTACGAAGCCGCACGTGGTGCGTTTGGCGACGCACGTCAATTGTTTGAGAAGGACTTTTTGATGAGGACGCAGCCGTGGCGGTAGAGGGCGCAGGGCAGCCCGGACTGCAGCGTCCAGGTGTTCTTCTCCAGGTCCAGCACCTCCAGGTTGCCCAGCGCGGGGCCCTCGGGGCTCACGAGGCCCCCCGTCGCGTAGATCCTGTTTCCGCGCACGACCGCCCTGGGGATAAACAATAAGAAACATCACATTGTGGTGAACGCTCTAAGACTTGCAATTCACGGGTGGCTGGTTCGATCTGATCTCCATACCGTGGCGGTTGAAACAATGGGGCAAAGTTTCTGAAATCTCCCTGCATCTCTCCACGCGGCAGTGTAAATGATTACACCGCAAGTGGGCAGGTTGCGTATTTTGGAGTAAAATGTGGGTACTGCCGCCTTTTCCAAGACGTTTGGCTAGCGTGGAAGACTAGGCCAAACACAGTCTACAGCAGTGGTTCCCAACCCTTTCTGGACCCACGGAGCACTATCAATGCTCAGCGTTTTTTCACTTACTTCCATTCACCAAAAACATAGTTTTTCAAAATTAAAACTTACCTGTAAGCACTATGACATGTCAGTTAACATGCCATAAAAAGTATTAATTTGCTCTTTATCGATTAATCTAAATAGCTGTGGAATGGGCAAATTATAAATTATCACCCAGAGTATCCGCAACAGTTCTGCGGACCACTTCCCAAGGCCTTGCGAAGGAGCACAAGTGAGTGGCCCATGATCCACAGGTTGGGATACACAGCTCACAGGTTAGGAACCAAAAATGGCCACAAACTGAAAAGGCCGTAAACATTGCAATGGGAGAGAGCATAAAAAAAAATAGTGTTTGGGATGGGAACACACGAGCTAACCAAATGCTTGCCCTGCATATATGAACTAGCCAACCAGCCACCATCACCAGCTCTAATAATTATCTAAATAACCTTAACCACCTAAACCCTTAACCTAGTCAATTATCCATCCAGCCAATAGTAACAGCCATCCAACTGAGCCTAACTCTACAAAGGTCCCCCCCTGCCCCCTTTACACTCGGGGTGCAGACGACAACAGCCTACAAGCAGCCCCCACCCTGTCGACGGGAAACCTTCGCAACTAACTCCATCGCTTCGGTGACCAATCCTGCCGTCTGGACCATCTCCCGGGTAAGGGCGGCGAGAATTGTGGGTGGTGGTTGCTGCGGAAACGCACCCGCAGCACTGCCGGGTGTAGTTGAGCGTGGGACCCGACTTGATGTTTTCCTTCTCGGGGTCGTAGATGGTGGTGGTGCGCGAGAACGCCCCCCCCAGGATGTAAATCAGCCCGTTGAACACCACAGCCGGCGCATACTTGTTGTCTGCACGGGGCACAAGGGGTTAGGCGTTCAAATAGCTGAAGGTTGAGCGGGCAGCTTAAAATAGGATGCAACAAAAAATTATGCTGTGGTTTTTTTTTTATTCCTGGATCTTGTCCTGAAGATGCTTGGGTGCAATTTCAAGTGAAACATCATACATTATTGCTAAATTTCATTGTAAGGTATTCCTCTTAAACTTACCGATGAGCTGAATATCAATAACAATTGGTGCATGCAACGCTTGTACATGTGACACATTTGTTTGGTTGTCGGGTGGTGGAGGGTCTTATGACACAGATTTGGCCAGATCATTCGGTGGCTTTACCCAAAAATGAATTATGAATAATAACGATTGTGAAAAGCAAAGTGTAAAGGTAACAAAATACATAAATAGCAGTTCTAGACAAGAACTTCAGTCATGTCGTTCAATACCTGTTACGGTGCATGAGCAGATAAGGCTGTGAATTCACACATCCATTTAAAGAAAGTATTATGAGGTTCGCACCTGGGTTACAGAGGAAGAATATCGCAATAAACAAATAAATAATATAACTAAGAATGTGATCATACACTTTCCTTTCATTACTCTTTGGTTCTTTCGGTAAAGTCACATAGAAGGGAAATAATAAAATAATAATACAAATAATAAAACATAATATTTTTATGTTTTATTTTTTATTAATAAAATAATATATATTTTTTCTTATGTTTTATTTTTATTATTTTATTATTTCCCTTCTACGTGACTTTACCGAAAGGAACAAGAATATGAATTCCTGCAGTCACGAAAGCTTTAAATCGAAATTAAATGTCCTTTCATTGGCAACCTTGTTAACAGGAAGTCCACATTTTATGCCCTGTCCAAATTGCCAAAAATGCCACCCGATCCAATCCGACTCCAGGAAGCTAAGCTGCACTGAGCCTGGTAGCACTTGGATGAGTGACCGCCACGCACAAAAAGTTGTTGTTGTAGGCAATTGTGGACAGCAGAGGACAGTACAGAGAAATCACTTTTACTGGTAGGAACCTCCTGGTTACATCAGCCCATAAGTTTGTGTCCGTCCGTCGTGCAGGGAGGGGCTGGGTGGGTAGGGGAGGGTGGGGAGAGGCTGGGTGGGGAGGGTGGGGCTGGGTGGGGAGGGGTGGGGAGGGGCTGGTTGGGGAGGGGCTGGGTGGGGAGGGTGGGGAGGGGCTGGGTGGGGAGGGTGGGGCTAGGTGGGGGGTGGGGAGGGGCTGGTCACCCCGTGGTGCCCTTATAAAACTCAACATTTAACCTACTCACGCCGGCTTGTGCCCGCCCTCACGGTCGGGCATATTTGCGGAATACACCACGCCGCCGTTGACCCTGGCCATTGACCGAGCAACTCAACGTTCCTACCAGCTCCCTCCGCAGGAATGTGTTCTCACCTTCACCAACCCATGCTGACGCGCGAGGTGAAGGATATAAAAAATAACCCTCATAACTCACAGGGTGTGGGAGGCCTTCATCCTACAGTGGACCGACAAGAATGTTTGTACGTGTGCACGTTTTTTTCTTTTTATTATGGTTACCGAGCAGAGGCTCAAAGGTCCAAACACAGCACTATTAAAGTTGCAATGGATAAGGGTTAATGCATTTCTCGAATTGAGCAAGGTTAAATGAATATAAAGGAAAATAAAAATGTGTTGGAGGCGCCTGTTCGCGCTTGCCTTCACACTCGTCGGTGGCTTCCCACGCCTCTGAACGTATGGACACTGCGCGCGTTACAAATGTGTAACTTTCCTTTTAACTTGGTGGGAGGCACGATACGACGGGAGGGGATTCCGAAGTCGGGCAGTAACAGAAGTGTTTTGGACCTGCAGTGCGTGCGGTGGTTGAATGCGGTAAGGATGGGACAAATTTACATGCGCTAGGCTAATCGCACCTCCAATTGGCCGCACCTCTTCCGATTAGCACGGTTGGCTACGTACGGTGCGAAAGAAAGTTCTACATACGTAACAAGTATAACCCGTAAAAACAAAGTTTTTCACTAGAAATCCTTTATATGCGTGGCGGCTAGAGTCCTCTCGTCCTCTGGCTTGAGATGGCTGCCACCTATGGGTCAGATGATTGTCTGGCAGCATTAAACAATTGGTAATTAAATATTAAAAAAATTTTCCCTAAACAATTTTGGAAAAAATTTTCACGAAAATGCATTGTCACACACAACGAGTCTGTGTGTCAGCTCGATTGGATCACGGGAAGTGGGTTAAAAAACGACCGAAAGATTTGCACGGTCCTAAGCAAGCAAGCGAACTTAATATAAAGGATTTAAAAAAAAATTAACCCGTAAAAACAAAGTTTTTCACTATTAATCCTTTATATGCGTGGCATCGGTTTTATATTATTATTCATTTCTGTTTTTCTTGAGAAAGAGTTTCATTTTTATCACATTGGTATTTTAAATTAAATATGAAAAAAAATAATTCCTAAAAAGTGGAAAATTTTGGAAAAAGTTTTTTCACGAAAATAAATTGTCACGCACGAGTCTGTGTGCAAAATGTCAGCTCGATTGGATCACGGGAAGTGGGTTAAAAAACGACCGAAAGATTTGCACGGTCGTAAGCGCGCAAGCAAGCAAGTAAGTGAACTTAATATAAAGGATTTAAAAACAGTCAGACACGGCGAGTAGCAAGCATCCTCCTGGCATGCTGTCGCGTCCCGCGCATTCTCGGGACGCGTCCCTCACCAATCATGGGCGTCTCTATGAAGCTCCAGGAGTTGATGTGCGGCAGGAAGGACTGCATGACGTTGGCCGAGCGGCCCGCGTCGTTGATGCCGCCGAACATGTAGAGTCGCCCCCCGTAGGTGGCGGCCGCAGCCGAGTGGACGGCCCTGGGCATCGGTGACAAGGCCTCCCACTGGTTCGTCACCGTGTCCAGCCTGGAGACGGTGCGGTAATCGAAACAAAAAACAACTAAAATGAAACATCGTCATGGCCGAGTGAACCAGTCGATTAACTTTTCGAAACAATGCATCCATACCAGAAGTACAGTGAAAGCACAGAATCAATGAAAAAATGCAATACACTACTAACTTCACATGCCTCATGAAAAATAGTTATGGGAAACAGCCCTTCTTAATGGCGCATGAGGTTATTTTTTTTGCTGTGTTTGTGCACCCACTGCTAACATAGTATTACCAAATAATCCGTTTAATTTTATAGGACACATACCATCATGATCGTCATATCGAGAAATCCATCATTTCCTATCGAATGGTGAAACATGAAATCGTGGCAACCCTGATGATGAAACCAGTAGTAGTAACAGTAGTTGTAGCAACAACAAAGGAGCACTGACCTCTCGCAGTGCGTGAGCGTGCTGGAGCTGCCCACGCCGCCCAGCGAGTAGAGCTTGCCATCGTACACCAGGCCGCTGTGCCGACCTCGGGCCATCGCCATGCGGGACACCAGGCCCCAGCTGTCGCTCATCACCGAGTAGCACCACACCTCACCCAGCGTCACGCCGTTCTCGATGCCGCCTGTCAATCACGTCAATTGCACTCGTTCAAACAAAGAGGAGACTTACTTATTCGCTCGCAGGTCCACGTCTCTTGCCGTGGACCTGCCTTACCTAGGGAAGGAGCGTTTGAGATTGCTTCCCCTTGCCTTCCTCAAATCTATGAAGGCCAACACGGCACAAGGGAGGGAATTCCCACCCACCCACTCCCCCAAGTCGGAGGGGGTGGGTGGCCAGCATTACGCCTTGCCGCCTTTGTCTCCCTAGTGGCGATGTTTACACACCGCACCGGGCACTCATTTGAGGCTAAGTAGACCTAGGGGAGACCCAGGACCGGTTCAGAAATTCGTCACTGGTGTTGGCCATGAGCGGGAATCGAACTCGGTCCACCAGGTTCGTAGCGCGGCACGCTCACCGCTACACCACCGCTCCCCACACTGTCACCTCCACCAGCATCATCATAATCAATTATAATTGTAAAAAGAGATTATTTTACATGAACACATACATTTTAAAAAAATGGATGTACCGTCCCTTTGTCAACCCACTGATGTGTTGGTCATGGGGGTTGTATGACCATACTTCACCACGCTGGTCAGCGTGGGTTGGTGATGTAGGTGTTCACGGCACTGTGCAAAAAAAAACCCGATGACCTGGGTTGGATTCCTGACCACGGCTTTCAGCGTATAGAACATACGAGGTCAAACAACTTGATGCATCGGCACTAGCGTTGTGTTCGCCACGGGCGACGCATGAGGATGCTGACCGGTCAGGTAGATATTGTCGCCGGCGCTGACGACGCAGTAGTGGTCGCGCTCAAAGAAGGGCAGGCTGGCGAGTGGGAACCACTTGTCAACCGCCGGGTTGTAGCAGGTGACGGCCGTGAGGCAGCGGTGGCTGGCGCCGTCAAAGCGTCGCCCGCCCACCAGCACGATCACCTCCGACACGCCTGCAACGCACAAAGACAAAGATCTCACGTATAGCCTTAACGGACTGTTGGGGCAAGTGCTGTTAGTGAGCAACTATGAAGGCCGGAACAGTATTTCGAGGGGGTGATTGGCCAGCACCCACGCCCGACTGCCTTTGTCTCCCGAGTCGACCTAGGGAATGCCCAGGACCAGTTCAGATAATCGTCACCGGTGTTAGCCGTGAGCGGGAACCAAACTCGGGTTGCCGGGTTCGTAGTGCAGCGTGCGAACCGCTGCACTACCACACACGCACACACACACAGCGTTTCTGGCACTTCTGTTTTGTGACTTTGCCCGATTACCCAAGCGCTGAACTTTTCCAATTAAATGGATTAGGGAATGAGCAAGCAATGTAGCCGGATGGGTCGGGGCGTCAGGAGCAACGAGCTCACTGGCACCACCGTTGTCTAAGGTGGCGCCTTTAATCCCGATTGTGCGATTTCCCACGTAATGTGAGTGCTGTGTTAGAGATCGGCTGGATGACGACCTCCCCACACCATCTTGGCCGTACAGGTTGTTACCGGTTGCTGGTTAGTGCAGGTTGATGCTGTAGTGGTCCACGCACTGTGCTTACCAGTCCAGCAACGAGCGATTGATTCCCCGCCACATTATTTGCAATATCCTGAACTTTATTTTTGCCAATTAAACACTTCCATGGATTAAACACTTATACGCATTTTTATTTCTCGTTTTGGGCTGCGTCTCCCTATAATGTTACACGTGAGTGGATGACAGGGAAGGCCGGGCAATAGGGTGGTGGATGAGTGGGCGGGTGGTGGTGATGATGGAGGGGAGGGGGGAGGCGTGATAGGGAAGGAGGGGGAGGCAGCGCCATAGGCCGTACCCGTAGCGGCGCGTGGCCGTGTACGCGCCGTCTGCATGTCCTGGCGTGAATCCGGCAACATGTGGTAGCGCTTAGCCTCGTTCACGAGCTCGCGGCAAGCCTCGGAGGAGCGCACGATGTCCTCGTTGTCCACCGTGTTCAGCAGGAAGCTCGGGTGCAGGAACGGCAGCCGCACCACCTGACAGCACCTCGGCGGCATGCTGCGCACAGATTTCGTTCCGTATTAGAGTTATATTTGGGTTAGATCGCGTAAATGTGTCCTTAAACCCGCCACAGCCAATTAGTAAGGTTTGCCATATAAACAAAGCCAATACGTTACTAGTACAGGACACAGGTGTGTTGGAGAGTAAAGCCACAACATTTATAATCCGAGTACGACGTTTAGTCAGTAATTACGACTAGCATCATCAGGCGACAGCCATATTTGTGGAGAAATCCTCCTGTTTCATTATTAAATAGAGGGATAAATGTGATGTCGTTTGGCAAAACGTGCATCAAACGAGGCCAGGACTTAATGTCTCCACGCCGTCTCTGGATATTTATGCCGCGGTCACGTTTCGGAAATTTTTATCGGCGTCGTGGCCACGAGCAGTTTAACCGTTTGTGTTAGAAAGAATGGCTCAAGGAAGTTATTATCACGGAGATACCTCTGAGATCCCTTCAAGCTGCTTTTGATTTACATAATCGGGGGGCAGCATTTTACCACCTACCTGCTCTGCATATGTATTCGTTCGGCAACCGGAAGCCAATGCAGCTTGGGCGAGCATTGGACGGACACGGACGGATCTTGCAGTACCCATCAAGGCACGTGCCAGTAACGATACGCACGAGAGCACAAAACAACAGAGCGGACGCTTCCAAACGCGGCCTCCATCACGGGGTAACGGGCGGGCACCTGCAAGCGGGCGCAGATGTCCTTGCGCACCCAACGGATGGCCAGGTCGTACACGAGCTCCTCCGTCTTGGCGTTGAGGTCGTCGTTGGAGAGCAGCGACACCAGCTGGGCGCACGACACGCTCAGCACCTCCTCGCGCATCGCCAGCTCGGGGAAGTTGGTGAGAACGAAGGCGCGTGCCCGTCTCTCCAGGTCGGCGCTGCCCAGCGCTTCAGCCATGGCGTACACACCCAGGCAGTTGCTCACGTTCAGTTGCTTCTCTGCGTCGTTCACAATGATGTGAAGTGAAAACAAAAAAGTGAAAAAAAAAATCGATGCATGCGTGATAATGCGACGCTGTCCAATGCGCTTTCACCCTCAGAATGTTTTTAATAAGACGTATACGGATGCCAATAAAACATCCGGCCAGCGTAGAAGAGTTGGAAAAAACTTTCTAGGAGCGCTCTCTAGTGGAAGCCCTTCGTCAGTAGTCACGTGAGTAAGTAATTGCAAGGCTGAACTTTTAACTTTTACGGATGCTAATGTAAAGCTGTCGGTGCAAAATGCAACTTGCATATTTGCATATAGCCCTTTTTTGGCTCCGATTTGTTTGCAAGTTTTTAAAGTTTATCGAACGGCGGTCGTACCTAGGTAAGTAGTGCAGACGCGGCAGAAGGAGGCGATCTGCAGCGTGCGGGCGGCCTCTGCCAGGGGGCGGGCGTGAGCGATGCTCTCCGACACGCAGCGGCCCGTGTAAATAAACTCCAGCAGCATCTCCATCACCTGGGCACTCACGCCCTCGACATGCAGCTCGAGGGCCCGCAACTCTGGACCAGAGGGGGGGGGGACACCGCCCATGCCGGTCCCGCTGGTCGGGACGAATGTGCCCGACTGTTCCAGCTGCGTTCTGCATTGGCAAAGCAGCGCCAGGGAGAAGACGGTTACGCGCTTAAGTGCCGGTCGGTTAGATGATGGCGCGGCAGGCAAGATTCTCCATCATTCCGCCGTGCTAATCGTCACTACTAGCATCCTGGACCATTCTCCATCCACTAGCACGTGTAGTTCCGAACGGGCACGCAGGGAAATTCGAGCTGTAGCCGCTGACCGTTGGAACGGAAGCACATTCACACAAAACCAAACACTTTTAAATGCTGATGCGGGGTCCGTTTCCAGCTCGTATACCTACAATCATGAACGCTCGCAAAAGCACATGATACACGTTGGGTCTCCTGGGCAGCGTGGCATCTGTATAAAATGTGAAAATGCAGCAGACAAGTGTAGGCAAACAATCACTGTGTTCATTGTCCCATTCACTCAGCAACTGCCAGCTCTCTCTCCTATAAAGAACCAACATCCATTCACTGCAGCCGTCAATCAACAATCTCGAACGGAGCCAAACCATAGCACCTGCTAGGACAATGTCACGAACGCACCCAGTTTGCCGGAAACACATCTGGTGACCTCGCGTCGTTGCCGTGTTCTTCCTTGGGATTAAAAGCGATCGTTATTGTCTTGTGGACTTATTCGGAACCGTACTCTTAACCCGGCTTCTGCGGAAAGGGGGCAGGATTGGTGGTGGTGGCCATCGGCAAATTCAAATCGACAATTATTCGGCTCAACAAACTGTTTTGAATAATTCCACCTTGGAAGGATCTGCAAGCAAATGTCTTGGCACAGGGAAGTGGAAAGGCTTGCAAACAGGCACGGAGAAACCCGACAACAAAATGGAAAAGCCTACAGAACATCAGACGAAAAGCACTCAACTATTGTACTAATTATGTTATTGGTCATTTGAATATATCTCGTCGTAGATGTTTTTCTTCCAGCGTAACACTTGTTCTGAATGAAAAATAATACTCTGTGAACAACGGACGTCAAAGAAGGACAAATGGACGGGGGACATTCCGCACAACACTCTGCGGAGCAAAATTATAAATCAATCATAGCGCAATGATTGATGAGAGAGAAACGAAGGAATACAAATGTAGAATATAACTGGGAAAGGGTAGTATGAACAGGAGAAGATCGATGACTTGTTGGTAGTTTTAAAAAATATTTTCGCAAAGGAACAGGGGAGAGTAGCGGGTAGGGAAGGAGGTGGTGGTGGGGGGAGACGATTGCGTTCGGCAAACCTTTTGATCAGTTCCTTGAAATAAGGAGAGCAGGAGGCTAGAACGTTACGGTGAGCATCCACGGACAGTCCACCCTGAACTATAAGTTTCACGTCAGTGAACTCTCTGTCATGCCGTTGCTGGTTCATTTCATTCAGCATTTCTGCAAGAAGTGGACACACAAACACAGCCAGGGGGAACAGCAACAAAAACAGAGGAAGGGGGGGATAACACCAACAAAGTTATTTTTTTAACACTTCACAAAAACTTTGGATCCTGGCTGATGGAGTTTGATGCGTCGGAGTCAAGGGGGGTCTTGGGTGGGGGTTGGACCAGCCAGGGCTCCCAATGGGGAACCGTCACCAACGGCCGAGCCTTTCGTCTCATCCGCACTCAAACCTGGGAAGCACACGCGCTCTCATCGCTCTCGCTGGGCCGCCGGGCAACCACCCACGACGTGTGGGTTTAACAAGCAGAGGGTGGGGGAAGGCGGGAGGTGGAAGAGGGTGTTGGAAATAGGAAGAAAAAATATGTCGGCTTCGAGTCTTGAGTCTGGACGAACCATGGATGCTGAGGAACCCAAGGCTGTTTCACTGTCAGAAACAAGCTCCGATCACAGACAGACACTGACTTCCTTTTCCTTGTCAATGTAAAGTTCTTCCTCCGAGCCGCCGTTAAAATCGCAGTTTTATGCAGTACTTACTGCGCTGTATCACAGCTGCACTAACGCTGCTTGATTGACCTATATAAACTATTAGGGACACTGACTGGACAGAATCACATTACTCTTTAGTGGCAGGCAGTCCATGTCCTGTTGAGAGAAAATAAAAAGGTCACGAAACAGAATATTTAAAAACTGTACATTTTACAATGGGCTTGACATATTTCAGACTATAAATAGTTATTTATTAAATTACTTTTAAATAATTCCAGCAAGTGGTGTAAAACTACAAATAGGAATGGCCTAACACCTGATGATACTACAAAATGATTCACGTGGTGGTGGGAGTCGTGGCGGAGCGGTTCCATCGTTAAGCGATCACCCCGGCAACAAAGGTTCAATTCCCGGCCACAGCTAAGATCAGTGATAAGTGCCATCCAAACTCGATTTGAGCCACCACCTTCACCACCTCACACAGTGTGTGGCGAAGTATAGTCAAACAACCCCCAAGACTGGCAAGGCATGGGCAGGCATTCATCTAGCAGTGGATTGAAAACCGTGGATTTACAAAGGACTGCGAACATTACCCTTCCAAAACACAAAACGAGATGTTACACGGCGTACTACGTCGCGAGGTGACGTCACACATGACGCCGTCTGCAGGCGAGCGTGCCCATGTCATCTTCTTGGCCGAAAAGGCTTACCCATTAAATCTTGTTTAATTATTGGCAAGCGTAGGGTAACCCTTTAATCGATATGGCCAGTTTGAGATATTAAGTCTCGTATAGTAAGACAACTTTTAACTAAAATGTAATTCATACTGGATCACCTTTACGGGAGTTATTGGGAACTGCCTACACAGACAGACCGAGAGAGACAGAGCGAATGCATACGCGCTTTCAACTTTAGTTGGAAAGTGTGAGCAAACAAAACTTTGCAGACAATACCTATGACATATACAATAGGAACACAAGAAGACAATTATTGTGTCAGTCGATGGGAGGACAAAAACGAACAGGAGCTGCACACGATAGCAAGCAATTGACAAGCCATAACGAAGTGTATTGAAAAACGCCAATTATGATAAACGTTGAAAAAAAAAAAGATATGCTTAAAAGTTATAATTATCAACTACCATATTACGCATTACACTTTTATCACAATTGCAATCAATCACGAAAGAACATACTTTCTGTACATGATACAATTTACTAAATGATAACCTCAATGATATCTGTTACCAATTCCTGATCCGCCTAAGTTTGTTCACATCACTTTAGGTTCACTCTCAAAACATGTGTTTCGTCATTGCAGACACAACTACTGCTCAATTGCTCGTGAAATCACTGGACAGGCAGTTGGTACATAGGATGACATAACTAACCTTTAGGGTGGTCAGGATCGCTGAACTCCATCTTCCCATCCCTCATTTCTTTTTTCATCTGCGGCAGCTGGAGACCCACGGTACCAGGGTTCTGGAGCATGCCATTTAGCGGCACACCGGCAATCATCGGCACCGCCGCATTCTGCTGCTGATGTAGCTGCTGCTGCTGCTGTTGTTGCTGCTGCTGTTGCTGCTGCTGTTGCATGCCCATCATGAAATGGCCAGGTGGCGCCTGCTGTGCAAGATGTTGCAACAGAGGCTGGGCCACCTGATTCATCGCCTGGGCAGCCTGGTTCATGGCCAGGCCCGTCGATGGCAACGAGAACATATTTGACGGGAAAGGCGAGCCAATCCCGTTTGTGCCGAGACCTGGCGCCAGCCCCGCTGTGGGTGGAACGGGAGGCACGGGCGGGGGAAACTGCATGAGACTCGAGGACGAGGCGAGCTGCATAAACGGCGTCGAGCTGAAGGCCGAGGATGCGCTGCTCGTTGAGAGAAAATTCGGCGGCAATGGCAACAGCCCCTTCTGCTGCTGATTCGGCTGCGTGGACAGAGTCAAGCCAGGCCCCAGCAGGCGAACGGGAGGAACAGCTGTAATGTGCTGTGGCTGCTGCTGTGGCTGCTGCTGTGGCTGCTGCTGTGGCTGCTGCTTCTGCAGGAGAAGTGAGATCAGCTGCTGGTTGAGAGCGCTCTGGTTGGACGATGGGAAACCCTGAGCTGGTGGCTGGTTCAGTAGGGAGTTGTTGCTCTGGCCAAGCACAAAGCTGTCCTGGGTGGAGGACCCACTTTGGTTCTGCAGCAGCCCTGACATCCAGGTTGGATCTGAGACAAAGGAGACACGAAACATGTAGGATTTAAATGACGCTTTCGCAAGCTGTTTTGTATTAATGTGTAGTGAGTTCAACTGAGTTGCAGACGTACTCTTGGATGCAACACATTTATTTAACACCAACACACGGAGTAACTGCCCCTTAACAGAACAACAACCTATGGTGGTGACCACCAGGCTAACTACACTAATTACAACGTAGCTGGCTACTACGGACCGGGACCACAGCTCGGGTCCAGGTCCACGTGTTGGACTCGGTAGAATGTAGACAAAGGTTTCTTCAGGATGAACAACAACGCCGGTCCCTCTGGGGGACCCGGCTTATATCCTCTGTGGCGTGGCTGGCTACTGCCCTTGGCCACAACCACCTTCCAGAATCATCGAGCTGGCCCCGGACCACGTGACCACCCCTAGCCCTCACTTGGGGCTCCTTTGTAGACTTAACTGGTCACGTGTCCTCTTGGGTCAATCAGAGTGCCATGGCCTTTAGTAACCTCATTCCTACAGCCGGCACTCCCACACCCTATCCTGTAGGGCTGGCACTGCACGCCAATGCGTGGTGCCACCTAGGGATATCAACCAGTGCTCACCGAGCGCCTCTAGGGCCGGTACTACAACCACATCATAGCGGGGTCCACGATGTCGTTACATCGCACGCCGTGCCTCTCTAAGGCCGGCACTGTACAGTGACATCCCGTGATGTCACTAAATATGTATACAAATTTACTAATTTCTCTGGTCCATTGACAATTGTCCATGAAGCCTTTGACTGCAGCTCCTTGGCTACGGGTGGGTTGTAGGAGGGGTGAAATAGCTCGGGATGATCACATCAGCCCCTCGCTTTGGAATCCTCCCTCGTTACTCTCGCATTCCATTGGTCACCACGACGACGGACCCATCGCGGTGAGGTTTACATGAAATGCGTAAATAGTTATAATTTTGTCGATGGCCATGTCAATATGAGTTTGAAATGTTGATTGAAAGTTTTCTCGTTATGGTCAAGTGTGCAGGCATAGCATTTCAATGACATCGCTTTATGGATGTGTTAAAATGTATTGGAGTTGCATTACTGCAGTGCCATAGCACACCTGACGGACTTGAAAGTGCTTTTTTTCCTTCATAAACAAAGCTCTAAACTAATCATAGACAGTTAAGGATACACGACCTTCGTATCTACAAGAGCTATTTGGTTCTGCTTTGCATACTGCATTTTACACCTACAGTTTACCAGTACAGCATATACTGCACGTCGCTGCTGACATATATGGTCACGGTCCAATTAAAATTGTAAACGGTGCGAAACAGGAAACGCATTGCTCATACCACTGCTGACAGAAGGGCCTTCAACTAGTGGGAGCCCTGGAGAGTCGAGCCTCCTCTAAAGGGTATTTTGGGAAACATCTAGAGAGGTGACAGTACACACACTTTACCCCACCACATGCAAACTGCCGATAGACTGTGGTGTAACGATTTAGTGGGTGGACTTAGGTGGTGGGGGGAGGGGACGAGATTTTATAGACTTTATATTGCTCAGCTTCAAATGCCAGGCTGGGAAATCGAAAATGTAACTTCAAGCGGTTAAACATGTAATATTTTTCATGTAAAGGAAACACGAGCATAATTATACTGATTCATCTAAATGTGCCAATGGGGTCTTCATGAGGGCATCTGTTTACGCTGACCTCTTTATCATTGACTGTCTCGTGCCACGTGGCAGAAGGCGTATATTAGGAGACTAGATCAGATGTCAGTCTCTGACGCAACCATAACAGGACACCAGGCACACATTGCCTCAACGCACTTACTGCTTTTCATTTGCTTCGACGGCGGCTCGTCCGTGTTCCAGGGAATGTTTCCAAACTGCATGCCATCAGGCAGCAGCTGCGATGGCTAGCCACGGAGTAAACAATGCACAAACACAGCACACATTGTAAGAGAAAAATATAATGTAACCGTATTCTAAGAGACGAACCGGAAACTATTATGCGCCACAAACTTGTGTCCAGTGTCAATAAAGTTATATAACGCTGGTCTCATATGCACACACACGTATTGGATTATACGACACCTCTAAGTGCAATCACCTCACACATACTTGTTTCCTTCGGTATCCCTCTCGTGTGTGAACATACTAAATAACTGACAATATATTTACGAAGTAATCAGTTCATCAAAATAATTTTTTGAAATTCCATTACCCGTCACATCAGTGCTTTGTAAAAAAAATTCCAGAGTAATTGACCGCACAATAGGCATATGTCATTTCCGTAATAATGTTTTGTGGTTCTGAGAGCATGTGCGCTGTAAGCATTACAGAGTGTAAAGTTACTATGGTCAGAACACTTATGGCAGACTGATGCTGAGAGTTTTTAAAACCTTTAAGTGATATTTATTCCTACTAAGAACTACATCACATCACACAAGACAACAAAATACAATTGCAAAGTTAGGCTAAACTGAGTGCGAAGCGTCGTATCGTGAAAAATTACAGGAATGTTGACCTTCTTTTGCACCGTACGTAGCCAACCATGTTAATCGGGAGGGGGCGGGGGGAAGGACTACAAACTAAACACAGCAAGTTCTAAACGAATACGTTTTCTATCGAAATTTAAACGTGTACAGCTCCAGTATAACGCGAGACCCACCCTACCCTGAAATGCACGTTGGACTGCGAGTTGAGCGAGTTGGTGGCGAGACTCTGTATCAGCTGAGCCCCGGCCGCATTGCCCACGGAGAAGTAGGACGATGCGGGAGTGGAGGCGAAGGAGGACACGGAGCCCGCGAACCGCGAGCCACTGCCGACGACGTGGTTGCCCCCGCGGTCCCGTGAGCCTCTGGAGACGAAGTTTCTCTCGAACCTGCCGCCTTGCTGCCGTGACATGATCCCAGCTGCACCGCCTACGATGAAGAGTCGTGACCGTTATGACAATTGTTAGCATTTCGATTTAAAGATTTCGTGACTGCAGGGATTCATCTTCTTGGTTGTATTACTTCCCTTCTACGTGACTTGACCGAAAGAACCAAGAAGATGAATTGTTACCATCATAATTTTCATCATTAGTCAAACTTGTTAAACAAGATACAGAAGGTCTTAACTGGTTCAGAGTTTGCTTGCTTAAACAAATGTTGCCTTATAAAATCGGTCTGGAATACCAATAGGCCGATGGACTAAAACATTAAATTTACATGTGCAGACACAGAACTGAGTTCTGCTATTTATTTCTGCTCGGTGCCCCACATAAACGCATGAGTTTGTATACTTTAATGCATTTACCTGATTAGCCGGTGCAATACGTTACTTATTTCCCATTCATTTTCATGTATTCACCCACTAAACGCATTATTCCCTCCGGCTTGTTACCCTTATTACCGTCACTGGAAATTTGCCATGCGTACAGGCCCGGTGGTTTGATACGCGGAACGCCTCCAGAGGGAGATCTCGATTTAAAAAATCTATTTTTGAAGAGCGAATTGAATTACAGCATTCAATTTGGGCGAAGAGTTTACAAGCAGTTGTTAACAACCCGTGGATCACGCTGCACGAGAATGAAGAAGAAAACCCAAAGTTCGCACACCCGCTGGCAACTGTGCTGACATTCGTTCAGCCACTCCGGCGCGATGGATTAACGAGAACGATTACATAAAAATATCTATATCGATTTTATTACAATGTTATTATACAGCTACGTGAGAACTCGTGAGAACTCGTGAGACCGGGATAGACTCTGAGGCTCCACCGAAGTGACACCTCACTACAGCAAATGCTGTCCTCGGGAATCACTAAGGTAACGGCGGTCCTAGAGTTATTATTTATAATTTATGCTGGAGGCATCCGATAAGCTAGAAAGCTCTTTTGTTCACAAATGTCCAGCAGGACTGTAGTACAGTCGAATGCATAATTTATCAAATGTATTATTAGTAGCGCTACTACCGATACCCCAAGTCCCAACGAAGGCCTCATATGTTCAGACGTGAGAAATAAAGCTGTCGGAAATGCATTCTCCATATACAAACATGCATTGAGATTATTTAGATTTTGCTTCTATAAATTAACCTTATGGCAGTACCCCCGGGGTACCATTGTGCCCCGGTTCTCGCATAATGTCCGTGATGCAGTCATTTTTAGTTTTACTCTTAGTTCTTTCGGTAAAGTCACGTAGGTAAAAAATAAAATTAAAATTAATAAAAACAATAAAAAAATACAAATCACGACGTTTCGGATTTTATAGTTTTTATTTTTTATTATTTTTTATTTCATTTTTTACCTACGTGACTTTATCAAAAGAACTAAGAGTACGAATCCTTGCAGTCACGAAAGCTTCAAATCTAGAACCATTTTTAGTCTGTTGATGGTCGGCGATGCGGAAATCGACTCATCTCGACGAGCTGTACACGATGCACTATTCAAAGCAGAATTTTTCGATAACGGATTTGTTATGCTTTTTGGCGAGCATTTATTTTGTATTGATTGGTACCCCAGTCGCGGAGTTAAGGACACCCCTGGAAAAAAAAGTGTCCCAGAAATAAAATATTTAATCGTCTCGGCTATTTTGTATTATATGGTACCCCGGGGTACCGCCATAAGGATCAAATATCCAAATGATGGGCCACTTTGTTGAGCTATCATTTGTGGCCAGGTCGCTTCTGAAAAATAAGTTAACATCTGTTGGGAATTGTTTAGTTTTATTTGTAGGTGTTCGGGTGATTTGTTTACCTTTCTTGTACTTTGAACTATCACGTTTCGTACTGTTTGTTGTTGTAACGTTCTTACCCCGTCCACCCACTGGTCATCTGTGAAAAAGAGCTTTATTGCTCATCTGATTCCTCCACTATAAATATTGATTATGACAATGGCACTGCTTCGATTATCGCTCACCGCTCCAGGAACGCATCTTGAGCTCTAAACAAGGTCTGCCTGTATTACTTAACAGTCCTTCATCCAGCAGTAGCCTTCCAAAAGGTGTAGATTCTCATTATCAACTCCTCACAATTTGCCACAGCAAACTTTGTTTAATATAGATATTCGTTTGCGACCCCCAACTTGGCACTGTATATGTTATACCTACGAGAAAATCTGGACCAGAAACGTGAACCCCGAGACTGATTCAACAGATGGAACAAACGTTGAAAAGCGAGCAAAGAAGCAAGGAGGCACACTTGGGATTACACGACCAATACGAGAAACACGTGGCTTAGCGTACATATGCAGGTGAGGCAATGCTAACTGGTTAAGTATATAAGTGGGTTTGGGTAGTACAGCATACGTCTAAATGCATGTATGTTGAACTTCCTTCGCACCGTACGTAGATAAACGTGGGGGTGGAAAGGGCAACAACACTAAAACACACAAAAGCAGTTCAAAAGAAATGAGTTTTCAATCTCGATTTAAAAGTGCACAGCTCCAGTGGCAAGACTGGATGGCGATACAACGCAGGAATAACTGAGTGGCGCGCAAAGGAGGTCGTACACCGCGAGAGATGGAGCGAGATGAGCTCGACTGCCGTGCAGGAGCGAGGGATGAAGAAGCCTACGGAAGGCCTTTGTCAAGCAATCGATTGATCGTCGCTGCTGCTGCTGACCCACCGCTGCAACGCTGACAAGCATTAACAACTCCGAGCGCCTCTAATTGTGCGGTTCATTATAACGTTACCAATTATAATTATTCCTCACTTTTAGAAAACAATCACTGGGACCCATACACGGCAATCACAACACGTGGCGGCCTACAGCACTCACCCACACTCCCGGCTCGACTAGATTCATCACAGCCGGTAGGCAGCTACGCAAGCGCGTGACATTCACCAACTCAACAGATTAAAAATATTACCTTTGCAGGGTCGTTAGGAGAGTCGTCGTAGGAATTACAAAGTCGTCAATTACGAACCAAAAGGATAAAAAAAAAATACAAATCGCCTACGACGTGATACGGACCCTATAGCCCCCAACCCCGACAATGGAGACAGTCAGCTGCGTGATGACGTAACGGTGACGTCATGTCACCACCCGCGTGGTAGCTCAACGCGTGACGTCATTACGCCGCCGCGTGTTTTTTCTTCACCGTGCGGTCGCGAAACGGTTCGGCGCGAATGACGTCATTGCGCAGCGTGCGACCCACTGCCGTGCACAATGACGTCATTGACTTTGAGTGTAATCGATTTGAAGTCGATTCTAAACGTGATTCGACACGCGGATCGATTGTGGCGAGATTTAAATTTGAATTCGCTGCGTACGTGGTGGTGTGGCAGCGTCAACACGATTTGCCACGTTCAATACTCTGCTGGATGAACGTCTTTCTCCCATACAATAAATCCACCCAGCGAGTGGACTAATTTCATCGCTCCATCTCCTGCTCGAACCAATGCTGGTGAACTACCAGATGTTTATACTCTACGCAAAGGACCCTTCTCTCTCTGTCTCTTAAACACATTGTCCTGCGGAGGGAGCTGGTAGGAACGTTGGGTTGCTCGGTCAATGGCCTGCAGGGTCAACGGCGGCGTGGTGTATTCCGCAAATATGACCGACTGTGAGGGCGGGCACAAGCCGGCGTGGGTAGGTTAAACGTTGAGTTTTATAAGGGCACCACGGGGTGACCAGCCCCTCCCCACCCAGCCCCACCCAGCCCCAACCTCCTCACCCAGCCCCTCCCCACCCTCCCTCCCCACCCAGCCCCTCCCCACCCTCCCCACCCAGCCCACCCAGCCCCACCCCTCCCTCCCCACCCTCCCCACCCAGCCCCTCCCCACCCAGCCCCTCCCCACCCAGCCCCACCCAGCCCCAACCTCCTCACCCAGCCCCTCCCCACCCTCCCTCCCCACCCAGCCCCTCCCCACCCTCCCCACCCAGCCCACCCAGCCCCACCCCTCCCTCCCCACCCTCCCCACCCAGCCCCTCCCCACCCAGCCCCTCCCCACCCAGCCCCACCCCTCCCTCCCCACCCTCCCCACCCTCCCCACCCAGCCCCTCCCCACCCTCCCCTCCCCACCCAGCCCCTCTCTGCAAGACGGACACATTAATCCCCTGTGAGCTGGTGTAACCAGGAGGTTCCTACCAGCAATATGGGCTCTAGTTCTAAGGCAAACCTATGGAGTAGATACAAACACAAAATAATGATCAGCGTAAATTTGAGCAAATCCGACGCTGCTGATGAGACGCTGAATGTTGAAACCGGTGCGGAGTCTTCTTGTGTCGAAAAAATGCCGCAGAACAAAATCACTCGAAGGCCGTGTGACCGGTGCCTCGTAGGATGTGTACACAAACGCTTTTACATTTGTGCGGTGAGACAATTATGGGAACGGAGGTGTAAGTTTGTATTTATTTATCTTGTGGTTTCAGATTGCCTGCCCCGTGCTTGGCCCCCGCACTTGCAATGAACTACTGAATGTGAACACAGAAGCATCAGCAGCAGGAGGAGGAATATTGTGTAAACATGGTTGGCTACGTACGTCCAGCACGCCTGCATCTGCCGATGTTAGACGGAGTTAGAATGATGGCTTTAATCTAAGTTGTCTTGTGGTTGTTGTTGTTTGACTTGCATCCCACTGAGATTTTTGCACACAGCGTTGGTGTACGGTGCTTTTTTCTGGAAGACTTTGCAGTTTTTCCCTGGATTTTTCTGTTTGCGCATAGTCACTTTAAGATGTTTTCTTGTTCATGTTTTAGTTTTGTGTTTGTTGCGGTTGCACCCGATTCAAGAGCCGAATGGCTCACATGGCTATACCAAATAAATGAAACTGAAATGAAACTGATGTAGGCGCCGCACGTTGAAACCGAGTCCCTCGGACTGAAATGATGCTGCAGAAATCCGCGCCCTCTCAAGTCCAGACGTTAGACTTGGTGGGTCGCGTGATGAAATACTGTCGTTACTTTGGTGAGACAGATATACGAAGGAGACATTGTTGATCTAAAACCATGAGACACAGCGGCTGTCTAAGCATTCCGTAGAGGGGGGTAACTAACCTCCCTTTCCCTCTCACTAGATGCACCTCTGCATGTACTGCAGTTACAAGCACAGCACCATTTCTTCATTGAGTCAACACCAACAACAACAACTGCCACCATCCTCCCACGAAGAGGCATTGGCATAGCCACAGGCCACTTGAGCCAGACTCCGTGCAGTTTGAGGCTGCTATCATCATGTCCAAGTGCGGAATGCTCGCCGCTGGCAAGGAGGTCCTGGGACAGACCCAGGTGGCATTGCTCAACTGACCGAGATGACTGACAGATGCAGCATCTGTGCTCTCAGCTGTGCCCAGCCCTGCTGTCCTTTGAACTTGAACCTGCTGAAACTCAGATAAGGTCAACCGAATCCCACACATGAATAACAGCAACAACATTGGCGGCGGTTGATGACACGTGTTTATTTTGTCATTGTCTCTCTGCCGAAGGTTACAAAACGCTTTTATTGTTGTGTTTGTTAGTGATAGTACTAACTACTAGTAATTACAGAAAACATCATGTGCCATTGACATACAAAGTCCCGCTTTGTATAGTACATGACTGCAATATACAATTTTAGTACTCAAATGTCAACAATAATCCATGCAGCATATTCTGCATTAGTGGCTACATATACGAGTCTCCATAGTATATGTGTATGTCAGTGATCGTCTCCGTATATCTCCGTCTTAATTTCTCTGCGTCTCCATGTCTTTTTTCTCCATGTCCATCTCAGTCACCGTCTACGCTTCTCTCTCCGTCCCGTCTCAGTAACGCCATCTCTGCGTCCTCTACGTGTCTGTCGGTATGTCTCCATGTGACTTTTCCTTCACCTACATCTCTCTCCGTGCGGTGTATCTGCATCCGTCGATCTGCGTGTCTGTGTCAATCAACATCGCGATCGGATCATATCCCAATTAACAATAACAATAACACGGTAATAAAGCTGCGCCCTGCTATATATAAACACCACGCCAAGATGCGTACAATTTCAACATACAAATACCCACTTGGATTACAGGATGTCCATTCAGTGCGCATACATAGAACTGAACAACAGAGCAACCATAGATCCACTCTCAGCTTTACACGCCGTGGGGAATCAGAGCTCTTAACGAGCACCCGATTAAGGCCAGCACGACACAACATTCCTCATCTGCACCGAACACTGGGGAGAAGAAACGAAATACACACCTCCATGTGTGCTCATTTCTGAAGTGTGCCTGTATTCTAAGTTACCGTTTGCCCCCTCCAGAGCCAGTGCCCCTGATACATGTTTTTCTCCCGTCTATATTTGAGTTTCAGCGTGTTCCCTCCGTTTGCCAGTATCTGTCTCTCTCTCTCTACAGTATATCACTTTATGTCTCTGTGTCTTTGTCTTCGTGTATGCGTCTGTGTCTGGTTTCCCTCCGTATCTCACTGTGTCCACAGGACACAGTGTCTCTCAGTTTGCTTCCATGTGTTCACCTTGTGTCCAATCAAACTTCTCAGGAAGGATGTTGCTTATATCGGAGCTGTGCTTATATAAGGCGTAATCTTATCCAGCTTCCAGCTACTTTTACATTTTACGCATTGCTCCGCGTGGACGTGATGTCACGTAAGCCTATAATCTATTGGGTGGCGCATGGCTCAGATTATTTTAGGACTTTTTTCCGCCCGTGTTTGCTAAGCCCAGGGAATGCGTTCTCGTTTATTTCGGTGCATTGTACTTTGGCCTTGTGTGCCCACGTTCCTTTGGTGACCCGGTGGCCGGGTTTAAATGCCGCGGCCGCTGAGATTGGGAGACCGCCTCCAAAATTTGTTTGCGTTTGTGTGGATGTGTTTTGCCGAGTCTCGATGCGTCTCTCCGTTTGCCTTGTCCGTCTCTTTCCCCGTCTCTGAATCGCCACGCGTGGACGTTTCTGTGTTTCTCTGCATGCCTCCTGTCTCTATGCTTGTCTCTGCAACACGTCTTTCTGTGTTTCTCTGTGTCCATAGATCGCCATGTCTCGTTGTGTTTCTTTCTCTGTGTTTGTCTCTGTCTGTACATCAAGACAAAGATATCCCGTACAGCAGGGCTCCCCGACCCCCAACAGGAGGTGAGCGGTGAGTCCGCGCGTGGCCCGCCCCATTATTTTATTTACTACTTCAGTCACAATTTTGGTAAGCCCACAAGCAAACCCTAGTAGCCAAAATGAGTAAAAAACAAACGTCGCTGGAGAGCTTCTTTGAAAAGGGGGAAAGACCCGATGATGAACACCCCCCCCCCCGGTCCGTGAAAAAATCGTCTTCCACGAAACCGTTCCCTGGTGCCAAAAAGGTTGGGGACTGCTGCCGAACAGCCTTTAACAGACTCATACTCTTATTTTTTTCGGTAAAGTCACGTAGGTAAAAAAATGAAATTAGAATTAATACAAATAAAATAATAATAATAAAATAATTTTAATTTAATTTTATTACCTGCGTGACTTTACCGAAAAAACTAAGAGTATGAATCCTTGCAGTCACGAAAGCTTCAAATCTTTAACAGACTGTTGGGGCAAATGCTGTTAGCGATCACCTTGTTAATGAGACACGGCACACGAGGGGGTGAGTGGCTCCCTTTGTCTCCCGAGTGGCGACGTTGACACATCGCACCAGGTACTCATTCCTGGCCGAGTCGACCTAGGGGAAGCCGAGGACTAGTTCACATAATCGTCACTGGTGTTGGCCATGAGCGGGAATTGAACTCGGATGGTCAGTTTCATCATGCAGTGCGCTAACCACCACATCACTGTATACCACACGCATGCAGACACACGGCACAGACTCAGCCTGTATCAGCTGCAGGAACTCAAGACGCATGTTTTGATTTTCACAGGAATGCAGGGCCCACCACAATTTGCCCCTCAGCAATATTGTTGACCTGACCTCTGGGCAGAGGAAGGCACGCCCAGGCGATGTCAACTTTGAACCTGACCTTTGTGAGCAAGGCTTGTTTACAAAAAACACCGAGCCGCATTATGGCTCCGCTGACGCATGTGTGTGCTTGTGTGTGTATGTTTTCGAGGAGCAACTGTGTTGATTGCCTGAGCAAAGGAACACAGGGTGCCTGTCATGGCTGCCACGCCAAGCCCACCCCCAATTTTGGCAAGTGTGGCAAAGCCATAAGCTGCCAATAAAAAAATTCCAGAATGTTATGGCGAGCGCGAGCAAGTTGAATTAACAGTTGTAGTCTGGGAGACTTTGCACTTTTTGATAGACTGTTGAGTGCCTTGGAACAACAGTAGTTTGTGAAATGTGCTATATAAGCGTAATCTATAGTAATGATTACAACCATTTGACACTTGCCCTTCCAAGTTTTTATTTAATTATTCTACTTTGGCCCACGAAACTTCTTTTTTAAAAAAACTTTGCCAATTGCACTTTACCCCCGTATTTGTTCTAGCCCACGTGTCTGCTTCCCACAAAGTGGTACTCATTTTTATCCACTCCTAAAGGATGAACGAATGAGTAGCTGAGTTGACTACCCAATAGAGATGTGAACTCGAGACCTTCCAGTTAAGGTCTACGCATATCCAGGGGTATTTGTCTCCACAAATTAATTCACCTGTTTCTAATTACAGGGTCGTGCCTGTTAGTGACAGCAGTGCAAAAGCATTTATTTTTTCCAAGGTATATTGTGTTTACGTCACACGGTGGAGTTATCTAATCAGAACTCTTGGACAGCAGTGACATAACATCACAACTTATTAGAGAATGGCATGTGGAAGGTGATAGCAAACAACTACTTCTGAAATCCATTCAATTGCCTCATCCACACTACGGCACACCAACGCATATTCCCTGCTGTAGAGGCATTCATCGCATGACAAAGCAAACATGTTTGTAATTTTGAGAATTTAAATACACCGAGTGAAGTGACATCCCAAATTTTATAACTTAATGTCGTCTTAGTGCAGTCAGTGACGACCGAACTGAAACCACCAACTTACTACACTCCAGACCTTGGTTTAACCACGGGTGGCCAAAACTCAGATTCGCACCTCACAGGTGAAGGGCTCAGAGACTTGAAACACAGTATCGGTCTCCTGTGACACCCGGCCATCTTGTGCTAAAACCTCCAGGCGCTGTTCACGCGGATCAGCTAGAGGCCAAACTACGTCGTGTCCTTGCCACGCGAATTCTTAATCTTCATGATGCCCAGCAGCATTACGCGGAGCGACGGCTTCGAGTTCTCCTCCACCTGTGTGAGGTCCTCTTTGACCGGCGAGCCGTTCGAGCTGTCCCCGACCTTCCCGGCCGAGTTCGACTCTGCCGCTCGTCCTTTGACGTTGGCGCTGCTCTTCCTCTTCTCCTCGCCGACCGTGGGAGCCACAGGGGGTTTGGCCGCGGCCTGGGACGTTATCACGCTCGCTGACCGGCGCCTCTCGTGGACGATCTTGCTGGGCGGCACCTCCAGCCGATCCGGCACCAGCCGCAGGGTGGAGCGGTCAAGCGAGCCCGAGCGCAAGGTACGGCGTGGCAGGAGTCCGTGCTGCTCTGTGCCCTGGGTACTGTGCGACGCACGACGTCCCATCATGAGTTGCATCGGGGGTCCGTCCATCATCTCGCTCTGCTGCTGCGATGACGCCGGTAGCTGCCACCGCCGCGTGTCCCTGAGCGTGCGAAGCGTCTGTGCCTTGACCGGCATCGTGACCACCACACGGCCGGGCGAGCCGAGCTGCCGCTCCGTGCCATCGCACGATACGGACAGGCTGCGCTTGCGGCGGTGGAGCTGCTGCTGCTGCTGCGGAACCCGCAACAGCTGCAGCTGCTGCTCGTAGCGGGAGCCGTGCGGCGGCTGCAGGTACACCAGGTCGTCGGTGAGTGACGACGTGGAGAGGGCGCGCCTCCTGCCTTGCAGCAGCAGCATCGGCGGCTGCTGGTGCAGGTGCAGCTGGTGCAGGGCCTCCTCGGCTTTGCTGCTGCTCATCATCATGATCGCCTTCTCCCGGCGCAGCCGCTCCTCCGAGCCGTTCACCACCCGAGGCACGTACCGAACTTCGGTAGAGCGAAGGTCGAAGCCCACGCGCAAGGCGGGTCGCTCCTTGGCGTCTCCGTCGCCCTCGGCCGCCTTGAGGGCAGATTTGAGAGGCCTCTGTGGGCCCTGAGGGCATAGCCACGCGTTCTTTCCCGTGGGATGCATGGGGGCCTGTACCTTTTGCATCGCGCCTCGAGTCTTTGATCGGTGAGGCGATTATAGAGTTGTGAGCGCAGAGAGGAGCTGTGGCAGGGGAAGGGTGAGAGCGTGGGTGCGTTGATGGGAGGGTAGGTGAGCAAGGGGGTGAGCGAGGGAGTGAGTGTGCAGGTAGTGGGTTCGGTGGGTGGGTGTTTGAGTTGGCCAGGTGGCTCTGGGGTAAGAGCACTGAGCTGGCAAAGCTGAAATCCTGAGCGAGTGAGGGAGTGAGTTCGTTTTGCTTGTATGTATGTTGAACTTCGTTTGCACTGTCTGTAGCCGAACGTGCTAATAGGAGGTGCGGGGGAAGGACAACAAACTAAACACAAAAAGCAGCTCTCAGTGGCTTCCTAATATCTTAATGAAAAGCAATCCACATGATCGCAGAAGCGCTTCTGAAAGCGCATGATGCAGTGACCGTCTTTGTCCGATGGCCAGGAAAAAGCCACTGCGAGGATGACCGGAGTTCACGTGATGCTTTATGCTCCTTGACGAGATCAGCAAGGTTTATTCAGGACTTGGAAATGGTCCCGGTCAATAGGCCCTGGTCAGACGCCTCCTCTCCTAAAATATAAACAAAGTCACACAAGATGAATAACACCAAGCATTTAACCAATCACAGTTAAGTTCACAGTTTTACTTTTAAAACACTCCCCATGCACACATTGTCAAAGGGCAGCATATGATGATGGTTTGATGTCTGCTTTCGCTTATTCTGCTGCTGCTGTTGATGATAATTATAATAACTGCTCAACCGGAGCTATTGATGCATTTGGATTGCCTTTGTGCTATTCGCCTTTTGTCATTCTCTGGTTTGACACTGGTGAAACAAGGAGGCTGTCTGTGGTGTAGAACAATCAGTTCCAAGGACAACGCATACACTATTATCAAAGCACGTTTGTTTGAATGTTCTACCATACGCATGTGTGTTTATTGCAGACTTGACGCTTATCAAAACGCGTATATTTGGTGTTTGAACGTCTTAACATCTGAATTAATGCCGGAAAGGAAAAAAAATCCTCTTCTTTTTTTCCGTCAATAATAACACAGCGACTGCTGCTGTTGTTGCTGATGCTGCTGATAATGATGACGACGACGACGACAACGATTTTTTTAAATTTCCCTTGTGTGACACCTCAGGCCCGTGCAGTGAAAGGGGGCGAATGTGCAATTGGATGCGAGGGCGCGCACAGATAAGCGGATACCTTTGATACCAATAACCTGCGCGCTCCGTGAAGCTACGACGCCTTCGCATGCCAATCGGGCCGGGGATGAGGGATCAAACAACCAACGAATGGTTTGAAAGCAGCCATTGTTCTATTACTGTGGTGGAAACCCAGGAGGGTTGTGTGCATCGTGTCAGCTAAGTTCATGTCTCCGCCACCACCGAAAACACCCCCACTTTGCATGGAAGCTGTCAAGAGAGGCATCACGTGATTGGCAGGAGATCAGCGTCGCATTTTTTGTTGTTGCTTAAAGGCGGGAAATATAATGGAACGAACATGCAACTCTGGCCACCATGCAATTGTCTTATTAATAACAGTACACCATACAGGGCCTTCTGCGCCAATTACACCTCTCTTAAAATTAGTTTATGTATGTGTAATGGGTTCAACGGAGTCACAGACGTAGACACATTTATTCAGTTCGAACACACTTCCCCTGAACAGAATAACAACCTAAGGTGGTGACCACCCAGCTAACTACACTAGTTACTACGTAACTGCTACTACGGACCCACGTGTTGGAGACTCGTTGAACGGAGATCGTAGACGAAGGGTTTCTTCCAGGATGAACAACAACCCTGGTCCTCTCGGGACCCGGCTTTTATTCTCTGCGGCGTGGCCGGCTCCGCCCTTGGCCACGCCCACCTTCCAGAATCCTCGGGAAGGATCTGGGTCCCAATCACGTGACCCCCCTGGCCCCCTTTTGGGGCACCTCTGTCAACTTAACCAGTCACGTGTCCTCCAGGGTCAACCAGAGTGCCATGGCCTCACACAACCTTATCGTTCGGTCGGCACCCACACACCCTGTCCTGTATGGTTGGCACTGCACTTAAAGCGTGGTGCCATCCAGCGCAATTATTATTCAGTGCACACCGTGCCCCTCTAGGGCCGGTACTACACCCACAGCATGGTGACATCCAGCGATGTCACTACATATGTACTGTATGTGCGGGCAAGGACAACAAACTCAACACAAAAAAGCAGTTCTAAAGAAATGAGTTTTCAATTTAAATTATTTAAAAGTGCGTAGCTCCTGGTGGCGTCCTAATATCGGATGGAAGAGCGTTCCAGACGGCCGCAGAAGTGCATCTGAAATCTCGCGATGCGGTGACCGTCTTTGTTCGATGGCTGAGTCAAAAGCCGCTGCTGCTGCGAAGCATGACGGAGTTCGTGTGATGATGGTTTATGCTCCTTGACGAGAACAGCAAACGGCATTGCGGTTTAATTTTCGATTTAAAGCTTTCGTGACTGCAGGGATTCATCTTCTTGGTTCTTTCCGTAAAGTCACGTAGAAGGGAAATAATAAAATAATAAAAATAAAACATAATAAAATAATTCTCACGACGTTTCGGCCACAACGCAAGCAGCCGTCCTCAGGTGAATAACAGGTCTGTCGGAAAGACAACGTCGTGAGAATTATTTTATTATGTTTTATTTTTATTATTTTATTATTTCCCTTCTACGTGACTTTATCGAATGAACCAAGAAGCATTGCGGTTTACATTCACTCTCACTAAACATTCAGCTAAACGCCATGTCTCACGTTAGGCTTAGGAACCAGTAGGTTAGCGGCGGTCTTCGTGCTATCATCACTGAAGATGTAAAATATCGTCAGGGATTCATTTTAGCTGTGTCTTGTCTGGGTCAGTGACCACAAAAAAAATATTCTAAATCCGGCACACCACATCCAGGATACCTCATGATGCGGCAGAGGTAATATTCAGTGAGACATTAATTCCTCAATCCAGTGTTATACGCATTTATAGAAATTTATCGAAATGTACTTTAATGCCAAATGTCTTCTGCAAATCGATTTTGATTAGATGTAATTTGGTGGGAACTTTTAGTAGGCCGCGGCAATAGCGATAATACAAATATTGATTTTAAGTTCGCGATCGGTTGCTGGAGGGGATTTGCGAACGTTCGCCTCATCCGAGGTCAAGTTACGATGCGGCCAGCACCAAAAGTGAAAGCCTAGCCCTACCTCTAACCACAAAAAACTAGCCAAATAGACTCTATCCATAAATATACTCAGCAAACCAGACACTAATCGTAACCATATCCCAAACCGCACTAGCCAAGCAAAGACTAGCTCAACTTGTAACCACAACAAACTAGCCAATTCTACTATATCCATAAATATACTCAGCAAACGAGACACTAACCGTAACCATATCCCAAACCGCACTAGCCAAGCAAAGTCTAGCCCAGCTTGTAACCACAACAAACTTGGCAATTCTACTCGATCCCTAAATATACTCAGCAAACCAGACACTAATCGTAACCATATCCCAAACCGCTCTCGCCAATCAAAGTCTAGCCCAGCTTGTAACCACAACAAACTTGCCAATTCTACTCGACCCCTAAATATACTCAGCAAACCAGACACTAACCGTAACCATATCCCAAACCGCACTAGCCAAACAAAGTCTAGCCCAGCTTGTAACCACAACAAACTAGCCAATTCTACTCGATCCCTAAATATACTCAGCAAACCAGACACTAATCGTAACCATATCCCAAACCGCTCTCGCCAAAGTCTAGCCCAGCTTGTAACCACAACAAACTAGCCAATTCTACTCTATCTCTAAATATACTCAGCAAACGAGACACTAATCATAACCATATCCCAAACCACACGAGGCAAGTAAAGTATAGCTCTACCCCTGATCCTGACCGCATCCCGCTAACTGTATATCTGAATATTCATCATCAGCCTTCATCTATCCACTGCTGGATGCATGCAGGCCTCCCTTGTGATGTCGCAATCCCTCGCTCTGTTGCACTGCAACAATCCAACCCCCAAGCACCGGGGCACGTGCTGATCTCATGTCTATGATGATAACAAAGGTATAACGAAGGTAACGAAGGTTAACGTCCCTTGATACGGTTAGCCCCACTGAGTCTCAACGCCTCGATTTTTTTAGGAGGGTTCTCTTCTGGGATACTTTGGCTAATACGATTATAATAAGATAATCAGATTTAAATCACTGGACGCACTCGAGCTAGAGAACTCCCGTTATGCGGATGTACTGTCTTCGTCGTGGTGGTAACCACACGCTCCGATCGTAAGTTCTTAACAGCCTTCTGGACTATGAAACAACTTCCGTAGAGTTTGCGTAAGACTTGCGCGTTGTAACTTAGAGCAAAAACGAGTGGAGTCGGGGCATGAGAGAGATTCGTTCTGAGCGAGACCATCTACTGGGAAATCTGTGGGCGGGGGGGGGGGGAACGCGCTTCATAGCTCATCGGATTCCTCCCGCAGTGTAAATAAACATTCCGACGCTGATTTACATCGGCAATCGAATATGTGAATTTGACGGGAAGCGAATTGGTGGCGTTAAAGATCCCCCCGCGTGTAGCCTTTAACAGACTGCCGCCGGGGCAAGTGTTGTTAGCGAGCGCCTATTACGATAATTAAAGGTCGGAACGGCGCACGAGTGGAAGGTTTTGGTAAAACTCCACGCCCGGACGCCTTTGTCTCCCCGGCGACGATGTTTTACACACACCGCCACATTATTTACGATTACACCGGGAGATACAGAGCTGGTTCTGGCTTCACCGAGCCACTGATGTCAGCCGTGGTTGGCAATTGAACTCAAGTTCTTGGTTCTTTCGGTAAAGTCGCGTAGAATGGAAATAATAAAATAATAAAAATAAAACCTAATATTATTATTTCCATTCTACGTGACTTTACCGAAAGAACCAAGAAGATGAATCCCTGCAGTCACGAAAGCTTTAAATCGAAAAATGAACTCAAGTTGGTGAGAGTTCGTCCCGAAGTGCACTAACCACTACGCCACCGCTCCCCACGTAAGGTGACACATTGTAGAGTACGGCGATATTAAAACGCTCATTAATGGAATGTGTCAAACGTTAGTGAGCGTTTTAATACTGAAAAAGTCTTGAGACTCTGTGAGGCTTTCTTGGTTAAATAAAGGACACGTTAAGTGGAGCGGTGGAGCGGTGGCGCGGTGATTAGCGCACTGCGCTGTGAACTCGGCAACCTCTAGTTCGATTCCAACTTGATTTAAAATTTCTGTTCGATTCCCGGTCACGGCTAACATCAGTGGTCACCTAACATCACAACCGGTACTGACCAGCGTGGTGAAGTATGGTTACTCTCCCCCCCCCCCCCGCGCACATCCATAATCGATACGGTGTGGGGGATGTCTTTACCCAGCAGTGAATGAATTAAGTTGCTGTAATTATCATCATGATTTGTCTGTATTACCATCAGGATAATAACGACTCTAATCACACACAATATGTAGCACACACACACGCACGCGCACACATAGCCTGTGAGTGCAGCACAGGGACCAGCAGCTAAAATAACAAAAAATATTATTTGTTTCCGAATTCGGTCAATCTTTCAAGAGCCGCAATGCACCGTGGTGGTGGTGGATACGAGATGATCCTTAATCGATAACGGTCACGAAGCAGCCCCTTTTAAAAAAGGACCCCGCGACACGCGTCTACGGAGGAGTCGCGTGTCGCCCGGGACCTCGTGTGGTCGCACGACTCTTCGACGGCTTCTCACCTGGCGACGCAGCGGAGAGGGCGCTCCGCGTTTGAGTTGCGTCTTGCGTCTGTCGCGGGCACATCCACCGGCAATCGACGGAGCAGCCGCTGGCTGAATCAGTCTTCGGAAATCATTGAGCCACAACAGGTCGTCCAGCAGCAGCGGCAGCAGCGACGGTGACGGCGGCAACTTTTATTGCCTCTTCAATTCCAAAGGGCCACCCACACGCGCCGCCGTTCACGCAGAGCGCAAAAACAACAACCGCGGCTTGCCTCTTCGGCCATGTGATTGTGACGACGTCCTTTCTAGCCAGCCGATAACAAATACAAATAATAATAATCACGAAGCGAAGATGTAGACACTCGTGTGAGAAGACGACGACGAAGACGACGACGACGATGTTGTTGATGTTATCGAGGCGTGCCGCGTTAGCTGCGCGCGCGCGTGTCGTGACGGTGTCGTGGCGAGGCTCGTGGATGATGAGGTTCAGCGCCGCGGAGCTTCCCACGGAGCGCGCTGAGCGGCGTCGTCCTCGTCACGAGGTGGCGCGTGACGAGGGTGGTGGTGGTGGGGGGGGTGGTGCCGTGGTGGTGGGGTGGTGGTAGTGGGTGGTGGTGGTAGGGGGTGGTGGTGGGGGGGGGGTGGTGGTGGTGGGTGGTAGTGGGTGGTGGTGGTGGTGGGGGGGGTGGTGGTGGGGGGGTGGTGGTGGTGGTGGGGGGGTGGTGGGGTGGTGGTAGGGGGGGGTGGTGGTGGTGGGGTGGTGGTGGGGGGTGGTGGTGGGGGGTGGTGGTGGTGGGGGGTGGTGGTGCTGGTGGGGGGGTGGTGGTGGTGGTGGGGGGTTGGTGGGGTTGGGTGGTGGTGGGGGGTGGTGGTGGTGGGGGGTGGTGGTGGTGGGGGGGGTGGTGGGGGGGTGGTGGTGGTAGGGGGGTGGGGGGGGTTGTCGTGGTGGGGGTGGTGGTGGGGGGGTGGTGGTGGTGGT